ACAGGGATGTCTGCACTGGTGGCACGGGTTGGGGGGACTCTGGGGTGCAGCCTGCCTGAGGCCATGCCCAGGACAGGACCCTTCCTCCCCCAGTCACCCCCTCCAGAGAACCCCCCAGTGCTAGCAGCATCGTCCCTGGGCCCAGAGCTGCTGGGGGCAGCTCATGGCCCCTTCATCGCCCTTGACGGCTGCCTCGCTCACAGCACATGCTGTCATGTGGCAGAGCACAACAACAACAAGGGCTAATTGGTTAATGCGATTTCAAAACATGATTTGCAATTATAACTCGCCAGAGAGCACTCAATGATCCTGCACATCAGGAGAGTGGGGTTTTCTCCTTCATTTGTTCCTGGAACCTCGAAACCAATTTATTTTACAGAAGCCAGAAGCAAAGCGCTGCTCAGCAGACTTGCAGGGTGGGTTATCTCTGTGCTCAATCACTTTCCTGCCAAACACCACACCAGGAACCAAGGATCTGAGGACAAGCCCTAGGGTAACCCTGCTGCTTCTCCCTGTAGCACTGTGGTGTTTGGAGGGGGGTTTTGGGACCCTCAAATCCTGCAATCCCTGCTGTGATGCCAATCCAACATGGGCTCCTCCAGCTTCCAGCCACCAAGCACAAGGATGCTTGGAAATGCTTGAGGACAAGAGGATGCCCTGAGGCCTAGTAGATGGGGACAAATTGTTCCTTTTGGCATAGGACTGTCTCCCCTGTCACCTCTGGAGGTGCTGGGAGCAGCCTGCTCGTCTTTGCTACCCAGGTCAACCATGTCCCTGCTGTTCCCACTGGCAGCACCCATAGCCCCACTGGGCCAGGTTTGCTTCCATGGGCTTGACAAGGGCTTAAATGCCTTTAAGGCAACTAAGCAAGGACGTAGTAAGGACTTTACTGCTTTTAAATGCAACTTAAATGCCTTTTAAGACAAACAAGCCTAAGTGGCCGTGATGGTCCTGAAATCTCCGGCACCTACTGCCCTGCTCCTGGCCAGTGCCTCTGAGTCTTGACTGCTTGCCCCAGTGTCCCCAGTTGCTGGGCTGTGCTGCTCCCATGTCCCACTAGAAAGCCAGGTGTGGGGCCGGCAGTTTTTTCCCTCAGCAGGCAAAGAGGTGCCCAGTACCAGCTGCCAAAGGGATGCTCTGGCAGCTATTCCTTGGGACAGTGATGGCCCCGTTCTGCTGGGGGACCCAGAGACCTGTCAGCCCACAGGGAATGCTCTCATGTTCCCAGGTCCTGAGACTCTCTCAGCACTGAGCTGCCCTACATCAGCTCCCAGGTCCCAGGATTCTCCATCACACGGAGAACTTGTCATCCCACACTGCAGCTGCCTAGGCTCTCCAGGGATGGGAGGAAGCCCAGGCAGCTCCCAGAGCCCCTGAGGAGGCACGGGCAATACAGGCAGTGCAAGACAGCAGGGCTGGGCTACCCTATACCCCAAAACCCACCTGGGCCAAGTTCAGATCCAGACCCCCAGCTAAACCCCTCTGAGATGCCAGGTCCAGGCCCAAGCCACAGCTGGGGCAGGTAGTTAATGTTTAGCAGAGCAGGGAAAGGTCTCCGTCATGGAGCAGCACTGGGGGATACATAGCACCTGGGGAGGGGGGGGTCTCCAGTTCAGCCCCAAACTCCCTAGCAAGCTGTCACAAGCATGGATTTGGCTGGGGTGGCAGATGGCTGGGGAGCTGTGGACTGGAAAGCAGGGGAGCACCAGGGATGCTTTTTGGCCTGGATGACTGTAGCATCCTTGTTTAAAGATATAAATAACTGGGTCAAAAATGGAGATATGGCCACAGCCGTGTCCCTCCTTTCCCTGGGGGCAGCGGTTGGTCCGGGGCTGACAGAGGAGCAGATAGGGCTTATGCAGCCAAGGCAAAACTGCAGTCGGCTCCAGCTCCCCACGTAAGGCACCAGCAGGGCTGTGCTGGGCTCCCACCCCTGCTGGGGTGACTGGCAGACTCAGGACCAGCCTGCAGCACAGGGTCCTGCCGGCCACGAGGAGGAGAGGGGATAAAAGCTCTTCCGTGGCCAACCAGTGAAAGGGATTCAGAGGGAGAAGCACAAAAGGGCATGCCGGTGCTCAGGAAGGAGGCTGCCATGTCCCTAGCACCAGGGACTTCAAGCTGTGGAAGCAGTGGGACTTCGGGGGTGGCCACTTCAACCAGAGGCAGCTGTGGAGCGCTGGGTGGCCCTGGTCCCCACCAGCATCACCCAACCTTGCGCTTGGGTGGGCTGAGCTTGGCACTGTTTCAGGCTGAGCATTGCCGGCATGATGGCCCCCTCCATGGTTGGGAAAGCCCTGGGGCGACTGCCCCTCTCCCTCCCCTCTGAGCTGGCCAACAATTGGCTGTGCTGGGGACACCGGCCTTGATCCGCATGGCTGGCCGTCCTCATGGCCGAGCAAACAGAGGAAAACAGCCCCAGCCAGCTCCTGCCGCCACCGGCACGCAGCCAGGCATGCGGAAGCCCCCAGCTTTCCCATGCCCAGGACCCCAGCCACCACACAGAGTTGGCAGCACAGCCCTGCCTGCTGCTGCCGGAGGGGGTAATGGTACTGACCCACCTACCTCACAGCTGGGAAACAGCCTGGGGGCTGCGGGGGCTCCTGCCCCACAGCTGGGAAAGAGCCTGGGGCTGCGGGTGCTGAGCTGAGGGGGGGAGGAGGGAGCAGGAGTTGAAGTAAGCACCCACTGTGCTGGCGGAGGGGCTGTGCCGAGGCAGCCAGTGTGGCAGGGAAGGTGGTGGGGGCAGTCCCTCCTTGCCCAGTCCAGGGGTCGGCTTGCCCAGTTCAGAGCTGTTTGCTGTGGGGCTGGGCCAGTTCCCCGAGGCTGTGGGCCAGCTCTTGGTGGCAGGCAGCCAGTGTGCACCAGAGGCACATGCCCCAGTACTGCCCAGCCACCACGCAGCCCAGTTCCCTGAAATCCTTCCCCATTGGGAAAGCATGGCACTTCACGGAAATCCACTGCTGGACCCCTTCACTGAGCTCCCCTGCCAGAAGGGCACCACACCGCCACTGGAGTCCAGCTCTGCTTTCATCCCACACCACACAGAGCACCCCACCGCCTGCTCCACAGCACTTCTGGGACCCCCCACCCTGCCTTTGGGACCTTAAAGCTCATCTAGTTCCAACCCCCTGCCACGGGCAGCGACACCCTCCACTAGACCAGGCTGCTCAAAGCCCCTTTCAACCCGGCCTTGAGCACCCTGGCCTTGTTGGCTGTCACCAGCACCAGGCTCGGCTGGCTGCAGGAAGCACGGAGAAGATGGCCAGGATGCGCATGGGGGATGGCACCACCAGCAGCGGTAGCGGTGATCGTGGTGGCACCCATTCAGCCGCTCTCCCATCGCTGCAGCTCCGGCTTGTCAAGGAGCACAAAGCGCGGCGCCAGGGCACAGGCGGCAGCTCCAGCTCTGCGAGCGCTGCCTGCTGCCCGTGCTGCCGCCGGCAGTGACCGTCCACCCGCCACCGGCCAGCGCCTCCCGGCTCCCGCAGCTGAAGGGACGGGCAAGGCGGGGCTGACCCCGCGCTCCGCACACGCAGGGACACGGCCGTCCGGTGACTGGGAGGGCACGGGGAGCCCGGTGTCAGCCCTGCCGCAACACCCGGTTACGGGAGCGGGAGCCTCAGCACCGGCCCCCCCGCACCAGCCCTACAGCTCCGCTCGCTGCTCCACGTCAGGTACGGCCTCAGCTCCCGCCCGCCCCGGCCCGGCTCAGCTCCGCCCCGGCCCGGCGGCGCGGACCCCGACAGCCCTCTGACGGCAATCGGCGGCATTCCTGCCCTCGGCCTGCACCCGTCCTCACTGTGCTCCCAGGCACCCACGGCCCCATCACACTCATGTGACCCCAGTCCCGTTTCCCCCCAAAAGACAGTGTTTCCCCAGAAGCTTCTTCTCCTCACATACCCCAGCACACAGCCTGCTCTGCCCAGACCTTCTTGGCTTTTCCAATTAGAAGAGGTGGCCATGCTGCCCACCAGCACCTCCCCGGCGGAGTCACCTACACCACAGGGCCACCAACCACCCAAAACCATCACTAGGTGCCATGTGACATGGCATGGTGAGCCCGGCATCCAGACCCCATCAGCTGCGGGACACCACAGCCTGCAGCCACACGGGCTCTGTGATGTCACCAGCATCCCTGGCTCTGGACCCCCCCAGCCCCACATGGGGCACAGCTCTCATGGAAGGCAGCAGGATCTCAGCACAGCCACCCAGAGACCTGCTCCCACCCTGTCTGTGGCAGGAGCAGCTCAGCTGGCACAGGTTTTCTGGACCACAGCCTCTGGGACAGCCATGCCAGTGCCTGGCCACCATTGCAGCAGAAAACATTTTTCTGCCTTCAGATGGAAATTCCTGCTTGGTTTTATTACTAAATCAGTGGCTGTTAGCTCCTGTGCTGGTGGGCACCGCAGAGCAGAGCCCCTTCCCTCGCCCTTGCTACCTGACAGCGGGCAGCTCAGCTGTGGTGAACCTTTCAGAGCCTGGGGCAGGCATGGGTGCAGCCCAGCATTCCCACTCCAGGACAGGCTTGTTCCCAGCCCGGCCCAGCCCAGCACACTGCCCACTCCGTTGCTTCCAGCAAGCACTGAAGTCACCCCAGCGTGCCTGGCCACAAGACCTTTATTCTCCTTTCTGCTGGGATAGAGCCTCCACATCCCCGGTTCCCAGCATGTGGGTAGGCAAGAGGAGCCATGCAGCTCAAACGGCCCCCAGCCCAGCTGAGAGCTCATTACGCATTTACCCTGTGAGGCAGCACAGGCTGCTCCTGGCCTCCAGACCACAGGGATGCTTCGAAGGCATCGCAGGCCCAGCCCCACAGCCCCCATGGGCACGGTTCTGGGTTTTCCGCAGGATGAGTCCCCCAGGCACACATCCCTTCCTCCTCCTCCAGCCCAGCTGGGCTGGGCTTTTCAGGAGCACATGAGGTGGGGGCACAGCGACCAGTGCCTTCGCCCTGGCACCCCTCCAGGTGGGGACAGGGCCAAGCACAAAGGGACAAGTCCTTGGGGACATGGCAATGCTCTGTGGCTGTGATTGGGGTCCCAGGGCTGGCCTGCACCTCCCCTGCCTTCCCAGTGCAGGCAGAGAGGAATGGCAGCACCCCGGGGGGTCCCAGGGAGCTGTCCCAGCACAGCTGGCCAGGTCACTGGGTGCACTGGGAGGACACGGGACACAGTTGCCTTTTGTTGGTGCTGGCCCCGGGAGCAGGGACCCAGGCTCATTGTCTCCTCCCTCCGCCCCCGCCGCTGGCGCCCGGCACCACGGATTTGGGGTTTAAGGAGCAGGCAGCAGCCCCTGCTCACCCGCAGGGAGAGGAGGCAGGCGAGCAGCAGAGCCCACACACCGCAGCAGGTGAGAGACAGCAGCCGTGGGGCACTGGCCTGCCCAGTGAGGGGGAACCACGGGGCTGGGGGGCCAGGGTCGAGAGCTCAGTGGGTCCTGGATGCCAGTGGGTTCAGACATGGTCCTGAGAGGGAAGTGGAGGCATTGCATGTACCACCTCCTTGTTCCTGTTGCCCCACAGCTGAGTGGGGACCCCCAAACCCTGCCCCAGTGGGAGTGAACATTGGCATGTTGGGGTGTTTCCCAAGCCATGCCCCTTCCCCAGGCGATGGTTTACAGGAAAGGGGGGTCCTGCACTCTGCTCTTCAGCGCACCCCAGGCAGGGCTTGCCCTGGCTTGCACCTGGGTAAGCTCTGAGCCTTTTGGGGAAGCGGGGAGCCCAACATTGGGCTTGGGACTGGGCAGGAGCAGGAGCTGGGCCAGCAAACAAGGCCCTATTGTGCCGCGCCGGGGCCTCTGGCTCAGCCATCAATAGCTGCATTATCCTTGGTGGCAGCCCCCACAGCTTTCCCAGCCACCGTGGCTCTGCAGAAGCCCCATGGGAGCCCATATGAAGTGGCTGTTGTGTTGGGGGCCGGGGCAAGAGGAGCAGGGCAGGCAAGGCAAGGTGCCAGGACCCCTCTACCTTCCCTGGCTGGGTGCTGTCGGCTGCTGTGGCGCTGGGACGCTGCACTCGCTGGTGACACTGTCTTCGGGGGTGAGATGCCCTGGACGGGGAGCAGACAGGCTCAGGGGACACCCAGGCATCCCTGTCCCTGCTCACCTGCCCGAGGTGGCCGTGTCTTGGGCACATTGCTGGGTGCTGCCTGAGGCAGGGATGAGCAAGCAGGCAGTGAGGGGCTGACACGAGCCCGGGGTGTGGATGCAGCTGGGCCAGAGGGAGCAGATGAACCATCCCACATGCTTCTCAGTGAGACACACCCCAGCTAAAATTATGGACCCCATGGCAGGGACACCAGCCTATTTTTAAAGCCCAGAGGAGCAGGATGCCACTCATCGGTGTGGCACAGGGCAGGGCCAGGGGGTCTGGGGCAGGGCAGCAGGCAGGGGGGCTCAGCCAGCATCCCTCCTGCCAGGAAAGGAAGAGGGCTGGGCTGGTAGCAGAGACCCTGCATGCCATGTCCCACACACCATAGCTCTGCCAAGGCCTCTGCCCCATTGGGATGGTTTTGAGGAGCTTCAAGCTCAGTGGTTTGCAGTGCAGGGGACACAGCCCCTCTGCCTACCCTCAAACTTGGCTGCAGGCAGCCACAAACCTAAGAATGGATGATCACCCCTGGGCAGCAGAATAGAATCCTAGAAGCCCAGGGTCCCGCAGCAGGGACACCCAAAGCTGGCACCCCAGACATGCTCAGGTGCTGGCATGCACCCATCACCCCATGTCTCCTGGACAGCCTGGCTCAGCCCAGTGTGGTGTGGGGACAATTAAAAAGGGATTAGCTGGGCTATACCAGCATGGCGCTGCCGGGAGCTGGTACCTAATCCCGGCAGGAATGTGCCGGGGCCATGTGGGTCTCTGCTGTGGGGTCTCACACCAGGATGCTATGATAAGGGGGGGTGTATCCATAAACGGGGTGTGAGCCTTGAGCTGGTGTCCCCGTGGGACATTACCACCATGCCATGCTGCACGGGATTGTTTGCTTCCTGACAGTCAAACCCTCACACCAGCACACTTGCTCCATCTCCTGCACCAGAGACCTGGCAGCCACCTGAATCCTGATGCCAGCCTATGGTGTAATACCATGTGCCATGGGGACATGCAGATACTTCCCTGCCTTGGTGCACAGGTGAGCCAGATAAGCCAGTGAGGAGACACTGGCATGCCCACCAAAGCGGCAGTGAGAGATTCCCCACAGTGTTCATGGCACAGCAGGGCTCACCTCACCTCCCCAGAAAAGCCAGAGTCTGTGGTGGGGAGCAGGGCTTGGGATGGGGAGTCAGCCTGGCCAGGGCTGGAGGAGCCGTGCAGGCAGCCGGCAAGGGGCCCCATGCTGGGGGGACTCCCAAAGGAGTCCTGAAGCCATGTCTTATGTGCCACTGCAAACCACAAAAGGCTTTTTGGGGTGGCCAGGCTCAGAGGGTTTCAGCTCAAGGAGGGTGTACCCATGGATACAGGCTGGGGTGAGGATTTCTCTCCTCCCTCTGCTCTCTCCTCTCCCCCCCCCCAGCAAGTCGTCAGTGTCACCAGGAGAGCTGGCAAAGGCCATCCTGCTGCACAAGCACATCTCTTGGCTGGGGAGCAGGGCTGTGCCAAGCCCACGTGGCACAGGGACACTAATGGCACCAGCTGGTATGACACAGCTCACCTTGTCACCCCTGGATTCTGACTGGGCCTGATCACGATGGTGACCCTGCAGCCCCCTCACTCTGGGTTACGCCATGGCATCACCAGGCCTCTCGCAGTGAGATATTGCTCCCATTTGGGATGCACGATTTGTTCCCATCCCGCTGGCCAGTAGATACCCATCCCAGCCTGCCTCCCTGAGTGCAGGCTCTCCAGCAGCTGCCGTCCCGATTACCCATCCGATGGCATGGATACATCTCATGCATGGCCAGCACAGGAGGTGCAGGAGCCGTGGCCCACTGCCTGCTGCCGTGCAGAGGTGGAGAGGAGTTGTTTCCTACCGCAAACACCGCTGGAGGCTCAGGCGCTGCCAGCGGAGTTACCGGTGCTCGCTGGAGCCGGAACTGCTGGGGGAGGTTTGGCCAAGGCAGCGATCCCTGGGTGCGGATCTGCCGGCGGCAGGGACGGGATCAAAGAGCGAAGGCGCCAGCACCTGCTAGCGCCGCTGGCGGTGACACCCCCGGGATGGCGAGAAGCCAGGCAGCGGCACCCGGGCGTGCTGCCCTCCTCAGGCAATGAGGGCGCGATGCTGGTGGTGATGCCCATTCCAGCTGGGGACCGTCACTGTGTCAGGGCCCGGCGGCTTCGGTGCTTGCGAGGAACACCCGGAGGGGCGGGAAGGGGTGGCCGGCGGGCGACGTGGCGCATCCCTCCCGAGCCGTTTCTTCCAGGATGGAAGCCCGGCCCTTTTGACGCCTGATGGCTTCTTCAGGCGGAGCCACTGCCAGCAAGGTCCCCGCAGGGCTCCACGACTGGGGTGACAGTGATGTCATCCAGCCACCTCGCCACGCATGCCAGGAGTGGCGCTGGGTGGAGGGAAACTGAGGCACGGTGCTGGCACAGCAGTGGAAGGTGTCCATCGTGCAGGGTTGGGCATGCTGGCAGGCTGGGATGGTGGGGACAGGGACACTGTGCACAACCCCGTGGGGGCCACCCAGCCCAAAGTCCTACTGCGGTGCCTGGGCAAAGTCTTAGGGCAGAGTAACCCCTGCCATCCTGGTGCCAGTGGATAACCCTGGCATCCGAACTCTGTCACCTGCTGTTCCCATCCACCTTGCCACCTTGGATTCTGGATTGGCACTCGGCACTGTGTCAGAACCGGGAGGGGAATAAGCAGTGGTGCTGGGGCAGAGCCTGCTGCCAGCACACCGGTGAAACCAGGCCGGCTGCAGAAGGGTTACCAGCAGTAAGACGGAAGGGCATTGCCCTGCCTGGCACGGCTCCTCCTGCCTGCTGCTGGCCTGCCTGTACCTGCCTGCACCCGCTTCCTGCTGCTACCTGCTGCTGCCTACATTCTCAGCCTCCCCGCTCACCCTGCACCTGTCTGCACCCGCTGCTGCCTGCACTGCCCGATTGTCTGCTGCACTCCCTGCCTCCCCACTCATGCCAGACCGGCCTTCCCCGAATCCTGCATCCACAGGTGGGGACGGCCAGTGACAAGGTGGGGACAAAGTAGGGGGTGGCCCCAGGACAGCCGTTGATCCCCCCCATCCCAAGCCCTGCCCGCCAAGGCGCGCGTAGCCCCCACCGCCAGCACCGCTCGCACTTGTTATTCTTGGCATCGGCAGCTGGAAAATGGGAGGCAGCGGAGGAGTTTTGTTTGCTCCAGACTGGGCCCGGGCCAGACATCTGGGCTGCAGCTGAGCAGGGCGCAGGACCGGCCCCCCGCCGGCCTCGACACGGCACCCCGTGCCCCCCCGCGCACCCCGGCCCCGCACACTGGCGCAGGCGGCGCCCTGCCGGAAGCTGCCTGTCCTGGGAACGAGGTGGCCGAGCCCCTCGTGCGCTGAGCGCGGCGGGCCCCGAGGACAGCGCGCGTCACCGCGGGTGTCACCGCGGGCCCATGCGGACCGCGCGCGGCCCTCAGCGCCTGCCCGTGCTTGTGAGCGGCCGCGTTTGCACGCGCACGTCTCCGCGGGCCCAAGCCCGTGCCGGTTCGCACACGTGTGTGCGCGCGTGCCCGCGTGCCGCGCGCGCGAGTGTGCGCGTGCCCTCACGTGCGTCCGCGCGTGCCTCTGGGCCCGCGCCCCGGGGCGCGCCCCCGCCGCCCCGCCCCGCCCCGCAGGGGCCGTCCCGCTCCCTCTCGGCGGACGCGGAGGGCGGGGTCGGGCCGGGCCAAGCCGAGCCGGGACACAGGTGGGTGCCGGGGCCGCGGGCAAGGGGTGTCCGGGGGCCGGGTCCCGGTCCCGGTCCCGGTCCCGGTCCCAGCGCTGCCGTCGAGAGGGTTTGACCGGGGTGGCAGCGGGGCACTGGCGGCTGCGTCCGTGTCCCGGACGGTCACCGGGAGGCTGGCGGCTGGGGCTGCCCGGCGGTCTCGGCGGGGCTGGGGCCCTGCCGGGGCTGGCACCGGGGGGCCAGGGGCTGCGTCCAGTGCTGGGGCTGGCGTCGGAGGAATTGAGGATGTTGGCACCGGGGGTCTCGGGGCTGGAGGTACCAGTGCTGGCACCGGGGGGTCTCTGGTGCTGCCGCTTCTGGCACCCGCCCCCCCCAACCTTCCCCCCGTGCCGGCATCGGGCCGGAACAGTCGGCGGGAGGGTCCGTGCCCGGGGGTCTGCCCGTGCTCCTTGGCGGCGCTGGTAGGTGCCGGGCAGGCGGGAGGACCCCGGTGCCCCCGGGGCATGGCTGGCAGCAGCCGAAGCGGCTGGCAGAGCCCGGCGGGTCCGCACCTTGTTCCGGCGCCTCTGGAAATGCCATTAGCTCCTGCCGCCCTCTCGCCAGGCCGCCGGGCAGCCCAGCCCCGCTGCGCTGCTCACGACCGAGGCCCTGCCCGCTGCCTGTTGCCAGCCGGGGACTCGCTCCCCACCCTTCCCGCCCGGGAGCTGCGGCCCCTGCCCGCAGGAGCCGAGGGCAAGCCCCGTCCGGCCTTGCCCGGCAGCGGGCAGACGTGCCCGGATCTGTGCTGGGCAGTGCCACGAGCGCGTGTCCCTCTTCCCGTGCACCCGCCTCGGCCTAGCACGCACCTCGAGACTTGGGGCAGTTGCACTGAGCCCTGGTGCAGCGGTGGGGCTTTGGTTGGCAGCGGTGTCCCGGCTGTGGCACGGGTGAAACCGGCCAGCTGTGCCCAGGGCTGGTGGCCAGGCTTGTGCTTTGCACGTAGCGCAGGGAGGTGCTGGTTGGCACGTCCCAGCTGCCTGGGGGTGCTCCAGCATGGCTAGCGGGCTTAGGTGGGGAGCTGTGTGTTGGCACAGTGCTCGAGATAACCATCACCTCCTGCTCCTCAGGGGAGAAGGTGCCAGAGCTGGAGGAGCTCTTCCTTGATCTGAGTGCCCATGGTGATGGTGTGGCAGCATGTGCCCCTCTGGGGACTGAGGGCTAGACCCCCCCAAACCCAGCTCCTGTTTGCAGGGTGGTACAAGGAGAGCCCGGGGCTGAATACAGGGTCTATAGGCTGGGGGAAACTGAGGCACAAGAACCTATCATTACGATGATTCCCATAATGGCCAGGTTGCCCGATGCTCAGGAGCCTTCTGTCCGCCCATGGTGCCCTGGTTGGCTGGCACCACCCTTGTGCTTTCCGTGTCCTTGTTCCTGTCCTCACAGGACAGCTCTGTGCTTGCAGGCAGTAATGGGCAGGTGTGGGGATGGCTGGTTGCTGCTTGGCCAAGATGCCTCTGTTTCCTCATGGGCAGGAGTCAGAGAGCTGCTCCCAGAGCCCGTGGTTCAGGGTTGGAGTAGTGTGGGTTAAAACCACGAGGGATGCAGCTGGCCCCTGTCCGCAACTGCAGTCACCAGGTCAAGCCCAGTGGTGGGTCTCCTCTTGCGGTGTCAGGGCTGCCCTGTGCAGATGCTCAGGGCTCTCTGGATCCCACCAGCAGCGCTGGGGAGGGATCACGGTCTGGGGGTTGTGGGGAGGGGGCTGTAACCTGAGCTGAGGTCTCGCTTCTCTGCCCCAGCCACCGCTGCGGGGCTGCCAGCCAGGCCCCAGCCATGATCCCCACGCTGCTGCTGCTGCTGCTGCACAGCACTGCCGCCGGCCGCCCCCTGCCTACTGCCACTCCCCGCCTCAAGCTGGCCTTCCCTGGTGAGCATGGGACTCGGGCAGGGGGAATGTGGGTGCTCCAGTTCATGTCAGCATCATCCCAGGCTATGGGAGCAGCATGGTGGGGGCCGGCATGGCGGGAGGCATGCGAAACCCCAGCAGTGCTGCTGCGCCGGCACTGGTGCTGCCCTCCCTGCAGGCTGCCAGGCACTGGCAGGGGCTGCCAGGTTCCTACCTGCTACCAGCCCCACCAGCATCACCTGCCTGCCCTCGGGGCTGTGCGTACACTTGGGCTTTCACTCTGCCTCTAGCACGTGCCAGGTCAGGTATTCATCCCCGCACGGTGCGCCGTAGTGGCACTCTCAAGCCACACTGTGCTGTGCCTGGAGGGGACACCGTGCCAGCCGGCAAGCTGGTGCCATCTCCCCACTGGCCACTCTGTGGGCTCTAGCATGGCGCAGGCGGCTTTGTCCAGTGGTGGGTCCCAGCAAGCTCTCTCCTCCCACCAGACAAAGGGCTGTTTGTTCCCGCCGCAGTGGGATTAGTTCTGTGGGGCAAGGAATGGCCCCTTCTGCCCCACCAACTGCCACCGGGGTGGGCTATGCCAGGGTGGGCTGTGCAGGGATGAGTGCAGGGGGCACAGAATGGGTTTTGGGAGGAGCATGGGATTGGTGCTGGGGGCATGGAATAGGTTCCGGAGGGGGGTGGGGGGGGGTGGAGTGGCATGGGATGGCTGCTGGGTGATGTGGGGATGGGTGCTGGGCCAGCACAGGGTTGTGAACCTGGTCAAGCCAGTGGGACAGGTTTGGGGGAGGAGGTGGCACAGCAGGGGGGGCCCATGGCCAGCCCCAGGTATCCCTGGATGTGTGTCTGAGGTAGGGGAGTGTGCTGGGCAGCAGCCGGTGCTATGGCGGGGCTGAGCAGTGCCGGTGGATCCCGGCAGAGCTGCGGGCTCGCCATGGGCTGCGTCTCTTCGCACTGGAGCGGTCGTGCTGCTACGAGGCCCTGCTGCTGGATGAGGAGCGTGGCCGCCTCTTCGTTGGCGCCCAGAACCATCTCCTCTCCCTGGCCCTGGATGACATCAGCCAACGGGACAGGAAGGTAACGGGGATGGAGGGACACAGTGGGACAGCCCTGAGTGCACGGGGCTGTGAGTGTCCCTCTCTCTTCCTGCAGATCTACTGGCCAGCACCTGTGGAGTGGAGGGAGGAGTGCAACTGGGCTGGCAAGGACATCACCGTGAGTGCCAGTTGGTGCTGGGGCATACCCTGGGGTGCTGCGGGGCCACCCCAGTGCCACTACCCCATGCCCTCTGCCCCCCAGGCCGAGTGCATGAACTTCATAAAGATCCTGCACCCCTACAACCGGACCCACCTGTACGCCTGCGGCACTGGTGCCTTCCACCCCGTCTGTGCCTTCGTGGAGGCTGGCCAGCATGCGGAGGTGAGCCCCCACCTTCCCAGCATGGCCATAGCCCCTGGCTGCTGCTGCCTGCCCACCTCTGGTCCTTACCCCTCCCCAGGAGCCCATCTTCAAGCTGGACCCCCAGCACGTTGAGGATGGCAAAGGGAAGAGCCCCTACGACCCCCAGCATGCGGCTGCCTCCGTCCTCGTGGGTAAGGCAGATCTGAGCCAGTGCCGGGGAGCAGTGTGGCAGTGGGGTGCTGGGGGTCCCCCATAACGCTTCCCTCGGTGCCTGCCAGGCGAGGAGCTCTACTCCGGGGTGGCCACCGATCTGATGGGCCGTGACTTTACCATCTTCCGCAGCCTGGGCCGGCGTCCCTCCATCCGCACGGAGCAGCATGACTCCCGCTGGCTCAACGGTCAGTGCCCCAGTGTGGCATCGTTGTTCCCTGGAGGCATCGGGCCATGAGTCCTCCAAGCTTGGCCTCTGCTGCATGCGGAGGGTGATCTGGGGGCTCCCCATGCCATCTGCAGACCCCGGTGCTTGATGGGGTCCCACCCTCACCCTGCCTCTGCCCTGCAGCTGGGCACAGAGGGGTCTGCACTCTCCTGGGACACCAGCAGGCTCCTCAGGTCCCAGGGGAGCAGATCTAGCAGGGGCACTGGAGGCAGTATCCCTCTGCCCCCAGAGCCCAAGTTTGTGGCCGTTTTTTGGGTGCCGGAGAGTGAGGACCCTGACGATGACAAGATCTACTTCTTCTTCCGCGAGACAGCAGTGGAGCGGCAGCAGGGGCTGGGCAGGATGAGCTTTGCCCGCATTGGCCAGATCTGCCGGGTAGGAGCAGCCCCAGGCAGGAGGCTGGGGGGGGGGTCGGGGGTGCCACCCTTTGCCGCTGACGCTGGTGTCCTCCTCCTGAAAGAATGACGTAGGCGGGCAGCGCAGCCTGGTGAACAAGTGGACAACCTTCCTGAAGGCTCGGCTCGTGTGTGCCGTGCCAGGACCTGACGGGGCAGACACCCACTTCAATGAGCTCCGTGAGTGTGGGAGGGGGACATGGCCTTTCCAGTGGCCATGGGATCCCCTGGCACATTCGGGTGGCACTGGTATCCTCCCTGCTTGCAGGGGACGTTTTCCTGCTGCAGACAAGGGACAAGCGCAACCCCCTGGTCTACACTGTCTTCTCCACCTCCAGGTCAAGCCCCCTCCCCACTGCCCCCCAATACCCAGCAGTGCCCCACTCACCCCTCACATCATCCCCTCTCTCCCCCACCAGCTCTGTTTTCCAGGGATCAGCCATCTGCATTTACACCATGGCTGACATCCGCCGGGCTTTCCTGGGCCCCTTTGCACACAAGGAAGGTCCCAACTACCAGTGGGTATCATACCAGGGCCGTGTGCCATACCCCCGCCCAGGCATGGTATGTGGTTCAGGGGTATCCCAATGGTGCTGCTGGTGGGATCCCGGTACCCATGATGGGGTGGTTGGGAGTGAGACCTGGCTCAGTCAGTGCTGCCTCCCCACAGTGCCCCAGCAAAACCTTTGGCACCTTCGGCTCCACCAAGGACTTCCCAGATGAGGTGATCCAGTTTGCCCGGCACCACCCGTTGATGTACAACCCGGTGCTGCCCCACGGCCAGCGCCCCCTCTTCCTGCAAGCTGCCATGCCCTACACCTTGACCCGCATTGCCGTGGACCGTGTCACTGCCACTGATGGCCATTATGATGTCCTCTTCATTGGCACAGGCATGTAGTGACTCAAGGGTTGGTACTGGGGGCTCAGCTAGGGGATGCCAGGGCTGGGGTCTCATTTCTCCCTGCCTGCAGATGTGGGCACAGTGCTGAAGGTGGTCTCTGTGCCCAAGGAGAGCTGGAACCACATGGAGCCGCTGGTCCTGGAGGAGCTGCAGGTCTTCCAGGTGAGGAGGAGGCTGCATGCTCCACCAGTCACAACCACTCTGCACCCCTTTATGCTGCCCCTGCTCTGGGTTGTGCTGAGGCACTCCAGCTTCTGGGGTGTGGGAGCTGGCAGCACAGGCACACTCTGACTCCTGCCTGCACTCTGTCCACAGGACGCCTCCCCCATCACCAGCCTGCAGCTCTCCTCCAAGCGGGTAAGGAGGGACCCTGGATAGGTCCTCATGTCCCACCATGGCTCTGCCTGGCCCCATGCTGTGATGCAGGGGTGTTCAGCTCTGCTTCTGCCCCCCCCAGCAACAGCTCTATGCTGGCTCAGCCACGGCACTGGCACAGCTGCCCCTGCACCGCTGCAGTGCCTACGGCAAAGCTTGTGCCGAGTGCTGCCTGGCCCGGGACCCATACTGTGCCTGGGATGGCACTGCCTGCACCCGCTATGTGCCCAACACCAAGAGGTAGGTGATGTGCTATGACACGGCACTGGTGTGGCCAGCCTGCCCCGAGGCCGCAGTGAACGGTGCAGGTTGTGCCGCCGCAGCCCCCGCTCTTCCACCACCTTCCCCCAGGCGTTTCCGCCGGCAGGATGTCCGCAACGGTGACCCCAACATGCTCTGCTCCGAAGGTGAGATGGGACCTGGCTAGGTGTAGGATTCAGCCCTGCTGGGGCAGTGGGCTGACAGCCAGGCTGTGTCCCCCCAGACCCCCGGAGGGGCAGCGTGCCCCAGAAGCAGCTCTATGGGGTGGAGGGCAGCACAGCCTTCTTGGAGTGCATGCCCAAATCCCTGCAAGCCCACGTGTTCTGGACATACCAGCGCACCCGCGATGATCCCCCACGAGAGGTAGGCTCTCCCCAGCTGGGTGCCACCGGTGGGACCGTGCCATGCTGAGCTGACCACCCGTTCCCGTGGTGCTGTAGGTGCAGATGGATGAGCGGGTGGTGCGGATGGAGCGGGGTGTCCTGCTGCGCAGCGTGCAGCGTGCCGACACTGGCCTCTACCTGTGCCACGCCACTGAGCACGGCTTCACCCAGCCGCTCCTGCGGCTCTCCCTGGAGGTGATCGGCACCCGGCAGGCAGCAGGCACGGCACCTGATAGAGACCCACAGCCCCTCGCCGGGGCGTCCAGCCGCAAGGTCTGGTACCAAGACTTCCTCCAGCTGGTGGAGCGCCCGCCGCTGGGGGCTGCTGATCGGGTGTGCCAGCCGCCCTGGACCCGGGGCAGACCCCTGCCACCCCCCCGCACCCAGGCCGGACCCCCAGGCCGCGGGCAGGGCGAGGAGCCGCGCAGAGCCCGCCGCCGGCGCACACACGAGGGGTCGCGGGCCGAGCGGGGCCCCCGCAGCGCATCGCCCTGGTGACCCCGGGGCCGGCCCCGGGTGCCGGGCTCTGCCTAAGAGCGGGGCCGCGGGCAGGGGCAAAGCCCCCGCCAGTCTCGGCCGCCCGCCGGCAGCACGGGGAGGGGGCACAGGCAGCAGCGGGGGGCTGCGGCGCCGGGCCCATGAGGGCAGCCGGACTGACCACCCCCCCATGAAGGGCTGCTGGCCACCCTTGCCACCGGCTCCAGCACGGGTGGGGGCACCCAGCCGGCTGCCAGCACCGCGGAGTCACCGAAGTATTTATTAACGACTGTTACGGTTGAATGTAAGCATGCCCTGGTAGGGGGTGGCAGGGCCAGGCTATGCCTCACCCCCGGCACGGCACCGCGGGGGGGCAGGGCAGCAGGGCCACCCTCGAGTCCTGGGGGGGGCTGCAGTGGGCAGTGGGATCCTGGAGAGACGGTGTGGGCAGCAGTAGGGCGAGGGGGCTGCAGGAGGAGGGTGCCCGGAGGGGAAGTAGTGGGGGGCACAGAGGTGGCACCCAGCGGCCCGGGTGCAAAGCAGCGGCGTGAAGGGGCTTGTACTAATTGAGCACAATAAAGCAGAGGATTCAGCTCAGGGTCTGATGTCCGCCCCGGGGAGCGCTCAGGGCGCGGGGCAGCCCGGTGTCCTAGGGTAGGGACCCCCACGGGCACGCTGAGCCAAGAGGCTTGGGGGAAGCCAAGCCTTTCAGGTACATAGGCAGACGGAGGTCGTCCGTGTCCGTGTCCCCCCCCCTCCCCGACTTCCGCCCGCCCCTTGACCCCGCCCACTTTCGTTTCTGGAGCAGGAAAACCGAAATTCCCCAGTGCCGACAGCCCCGCTCTTCGCCAGTGCCCGGGAGATGAGTGACCTCCGTCTGCTGCTCTTGCTGCCTGCGGTGGCACCACGGTCCTGGTGACACTGGCATTGGCCACATCGCGTTTCCTGAACCACGTCGCGTGAGTCATGTCCCAGCGCTGGCTGCGCCCCAGCCCAGCACCTGAACTGCGGTGTGGGCACAGGCAGGCACTGGTACAGGCAGGGACCCCTGGCAGGGGGTCGGATCCCTGTGGTGGGACACTGCCTCCAGCCAGCTGGCACCTGCAGAGAGCGTGGGCAGGACTCCCCAGGGAGCTGGGGCAGAGTGAAACCCTGGGGACTGGGCCACCCTAACTGCCCAGTGGTGACCTGGGAAGGGGCCTGGGAAGGTTTACAAACTGCTGCAGGCAGGAACAGTCAGAGTGGACGCAGAGGATGGAGCTATTTTCCTGAGGACCAGCTAGCACTGGGCTGGCACCACTGGCTCTGGCAGCACTATTGCTCTGCACCTCTGTATCCCTATACCGTCCCAGCATCTGGTGGCATTGTGGACCGCCCTCATTCCAATGGGAATCCCCCTACCCACCCTTCTGTGACACTGGGAACAGAGAGCAGCACAAGATTTATGGAGACATTTATTTCCAGCATGACCAGAAGGGAAGGGGGAGTACAGGGGCAATACGCAGGACTGAGGGTACAGGAATGCTAGTGCTAATACTTAGTTAGGGAACTGGGGGTCTGCACCCCCACGGAGCCGCAGGAGCATGAAGATTGTGCTCCTGGGCTGGACATCATAATGTACCAGCATGTGCCGGTCCTCCAGCTCCTGGAAGTTGTATGTCAGACGCTGCTGGTCAGCGGGAGGCCCCTGCTGTCTGTGGATCTGCTCCTTCAGCTGCCGGACAGCGGTGGTAGGCAGCACCGTGTAGGTGGTGGTCCGGCTCTTGTCATCCTTCACAAAGACTTCCATCGCTTGGGGCTCTGTCTGCAGCAGCAGCAGAGTGGTGCTGTAGAAGATGCCGTGGGAGGCCAGGGTCGTGCCATCCTGTAGGACAACGTAACTCCTGCCCAGCTCCTGCTGTGCCAGGCGCTGCTGGTACCAAGGGATGCCCCACTCCTGCTCAATCGCCTCCTTCAGTTGCCGGATGGTAGTGCCAGGGCTGACGGTCCTGCTCAGGCTGGTGCCCAGCAACTGCCTCACCTCTATCTTCACAGGCCGTGCTGGCTGCAGGGATACAAGAGTAGGTGGGCAAAGCTGCAGGGTTGGGAGAGGGGGGGGAATGCTGCAGGGCAGGCAGCCTTACGTGCACAGCCCAGGGCTGGGCAGTACTGATGCAGGGCAGGGAACGGTGGCCGGCAGCTCCCTGTGCCACCAGGTTCCAATTCTTGCCTTGGCCAAGGATCCCTGTTGGGTCAGCGGGGTCCAGGATGATAGGGCTGCATACACAGAGCGTGGAAACTGCTGTCAGCCCTGGGCAGCACTGTGGGGCACATAGCACGGGTCCCACCGGGAACAGTGCTCACCAGGGACTGCGCAACAGCATCTTGATGTGGGCACCAATCTGGTTGTGCTGGAGCAAGTAGTACTTCTCCCAGTAGATGCAGATCTCCTGGTGTCGGCACAGCAGCTCCAGCACTGTACGGAAGCCTTCAGCCATGACAAAAGAGTCAGAGGAGCCTGTGCCCTCCTCCCAGGCGTAGATGGTCAGCAGCTCCAGGGCATACCTGGGGGGCAGGTCTGCAGTGGGGTACTGTGGTTTCAGCAGCTGGGCAGGAGACAGCAACAGGGGTGAGAGCTGGCCAGGTCGAGTGGCTGGTGGGTGCCAGGGAAGCTGGGCATCCCCTCACCTCCTTGTACCAGTGCTTCACCAGGCGCAGAAGATTCTTCAGCTTGGCAGGGTAGCGCTTCACAAACTTTTTCTGAAGCTCAGTGAAGCAGGGGGAGAACTCCCCAGGGTCACTGCTGGCTTTCAGGAGCCCTATGTACACACTTGCATCCGGTGGGGCATTCTGGCTCAACTGCCCTGTGGGGTGAGAAGGAGGGTGAGAGCCATCCCAGTGCTGACACTGGAACCCAGCCTCACACCAGCCTGCAGCCCTTACCCAAGGCATCATAGGCAGGCAGAATATCCACCTCGATGGACTCCAAGGTGTCCTTGGAGTAGAGAGTGAGGCTGAGGGAGCGCGGTGTGTTACCAGGACCCTTGTACCGGGGCTCACTGATGCTCATGGTGAATGTTAGGCTCTGCCTGCAGGTGCGCAGTCTCTTCTCAATCAAATCCAGGATATACCTCCTCTCCTGCTTCTGCTGCTGGTAGCTGGAGAAGCAGCTAAGGAAGAGCACCACGTCGGCATCAGAGTTGTTCTGCAAAGCTGTGCCCTTGCCTGCTGAGCCACCCTGCAGAAAGACACCCTGCCTACTCGGCACTGCTGCCCCTCAGCACGGGGATTGCCCGCCACCATTCCTGGAGCTACCATTCCTGGAGTTGCCATTTCTGAGGCAAGGCAGGAGCTGGAGCAGCAGGACAGAGGGAATGGTGACAGTAGGGGTGCTGGCTGGTGCCTGAGCCGGGCAGCACTCACCTTGACAGTCTTGTGGACGCGGATGCCTGTGTCGAAGCAGTCCTCCTTCAGGAAATCACAGATCTGCTTCACTGTCTGCTTCACCTGCCTGCAGAAAACCATGCTGGGTTGGAGGGTCTTCATGATCCAGGTGTCCAGCTTGTTGCTGGCCACCGTCCTCAGCCCGTCCGTGGATGTCTCCTGCTGCACATCCATGCTGCCAGGTCTGGTCACTCCCTCTACCCCTTCTACTCGCTCCTGCCTGCAGCTGCCTTTCCCTGCCCTCACCAGGTTTTAAACCTTCCCGGGCCACCCCCCCCCAACCCTCCGATGGCGTCACCACCAGGCATTTAAGGTGGCTCCAGAGCCCGGGGTTTTGCCTCTCCACTGGCCCGCCTCCCCGGGGAGCTCCTGCTCGCCGGTACCTCCGACGCCCTCCCCGCGGGAGCAGAGAGGGGGCAGGAGGGGCTGCGGGGCACCGCCGTTACCCCGGCACCAGGTGGGAGCCTGGGGCTGGGGTGCTGCAGGATATCTTGGCCCGGAGGGACAGCGGTGGCACAGGGTGTCCCCTGGGTGCACCACGGGAGCCCTGCCCGAGGGCTGGAGGTGCCCTGTCTCCACCAGCGCCTGCCTGCGCCCACATCGGGGGCTCGCGTGTTCGAACTCTGGGACATGGCTGGTAGCACGGTGTCACCGTGGGCAATGGAACATGGTCAGTGCCAGTGTCACCAAGGGCAATGGGATGTGGTCGGTGCCGGTGTCACCGGGGAGCCTGCTGTCACCGCGGGAAATGGGACGTAGTCGGTGCCAGGATCACCCGGGGCCCGGGTGTCACTGCACGCAGCGGCAGGCGGTACGGGCAGGACGCTGCTGTCAGCGCTGCCTTAAGCGCCGGCTACACTGGAGCCAGGAAACGGGAGTTTCTGTTTCTGCGCCGCTTTCGATTTCTGATTCCGCGGGCTGGAAACGAAAGTACGTTGGGATGGAAACGAAAGCCCTTGGCGGCTCCAGCCCCTCGTCCCTTCCAGCCCCCTCGTCGCTTCCATTCCCCCCCCCGCCTCGCTTGCCTGCTCTGGGAAACTAGGAAGAGCCAAAAGTCTGAAACTGAGGCCTGGAAACTCAGGGTAGGGTCGGGGAGGAGCTCATCCAGTACAGGCAGGAACATGAAGACAGGAAGGCAATGGAGAATGGAGGCAGAAGCGGGAAGGGAAAGGTGGTCAGGACATGGGCAGAAGACGGGCAGGGGGTAGGGAAAGGAGACAGGAGGGGACAGGGATGGGGCAGCAGCAGGGGCAGGGACAAATATAGGGATGGGGATGGGCATTGGGTGCAGTCGGGGTCAGGGACAGGGATAAGGTGGCAGGCAGGGCAGGGGTAGAGACGGGCAGGGACAAGGGAAGTGGCAGAGATGAGGGCAGGGGCAAGAGCAGGGGCAGGAGCACTGTTACAGGGAGGGATACAAATGGGAACAGCAGCAGGTGTTTGGGCAGAGATACAGGCAGGGGCAGGGACAAGGACAGAAGGAGAGATATGGGCAGGTACGCTGACAGGGGCAGGGCTGTGGGCAGGAATGTGAGCAGGGAGAGGGGAAGGAGAGGACCAGCAGTAGGAGTACAGGCAGGGGCAAGGCTGTGGGCATGGAGAAGTGACATGGGCATTTCACATCTGGCCTGTGCAGCTCAAGGAGCAAGACAAGGACACCAAGGGAAGAGCAGCAAGAAAGAGTCATTCTTTATTCGCACCTACGTGTGTCCCAGACAAATCGGGGCACCCCAAATGTGTTTTCACACGTGGCTCTCACACCTTTTGCATGCCGAGGTACAGCACAGTCTGATCAGCCTCTACTCACCCCACCACACACCTCCTCTGCAAAGCCACTGGAGTCTCCTAGGATGGGATCATCCTTCTTCCCTTAGCCAGGTATCCCTGGAGTCACTACAGTGCCTGTCTGTGAAGGTGTGTAATGGGAAGGCCGCAGGTAGGTGTTGGAGGGGCTGAAGTGCTGCAGTGGCCTTCATCCCCCGTGGTGGCGCTCTCTTCCCTCCTCTTGCTCCTTCTCCCAACGACCTGGGGTCCTGTAGCCACCAACCGTTCACACAAAAGTCTGCAGATGTATGTGCCTTAAAAAGTTCATGCAACTTCATACTATAATGACTAATTGGTACAACAGTTAGAGAAGGAGATTTTCCTAATGAGGTGCAGACGGGGCAGCGGAAGGGATTGGGCAGGGACAGTGATGGGACAGGGAAACAACAACGGGACAGGGGCACGAGCAGACATGCGGGGGATACGGGCGGGGACACGGGGAATACCGGCGGGGACGGGACGGGACGGGACGGCGACCCGGGCTACAACGGCGGGGCCTCACCCCGGCGCCGCGCGCCAGGAGCTGCAGCCCGCATGCGCAGGGAGGGGTGGGCGCTCCCAGGGGGCTGCGCGGCGTGGCCAGGGGGGCGTGGCCACGGGACGGGGCGGGGCCACGGGGCGGGGCGGGGCTGCGCGCGCGTGGGCTATGCCGCGGACCCGCCGAGCCATGCGCCGTGAGTGGGGTCCGCGGGGCGGGAGCGTGGCGGGGTCGGGATCGGGATGGGGATCAGGATGGAAGCCAGGACCATTCTTCCGTCCCGTCCCGTCCCGTTAGCGGGGGTGGTCCGCACAGGCTCCGTGCCTCCCTCATGGCCCCGCCGTGTGTCCGGGCTGACTGGGGCTTGTCCCCACCTTCCGCAGGTGGCCCCGGCAGCGGCCGGGCGGTCTCTCACGCTAGCGAGGAGGAGACCGGCAGCGAGGTGCTGAGCCACTGCAGCAGCGCCAGCGAGGGGGGCAGCCCCGCCGAGGAGCCCACAGGTGAGCGCGGGTGTCCGCGCTGCTGCGGTGTCCCCCACCAGTGGGACCTCCGTGACACGGTGCCACTCCGGCAGGGAGCGAGGCGTTGGGGGAGCAAGCGCAGGAGGAAGAGGTGGAGGACAGGCTGAAGGAGCACATGGACAGCCTCCTGGACAAGAGGTAACCAGGCGGCTGTCGCCCCGGGCACACCTGGCACGCTGCTGTTCCCCGTTTGCGCTGCCAGCCAGCGGCTGGGACATGCCCTGTACCGGGCCACCTCACCTCATGACCTCCCATGGTCTCTCCCAGCGCCAAGACGCGGCTGGCGGCACTGCAGAGCTTGCGCCTGGCCTTCTGCTCCAGAACCCTCTCCGAGTTCCTGCTGGAGCGCCGCCTCACGCTCACTGACTCGCTGGAGAAGTGCCTCAAGAAAGGTCTGGGCGCAGGAGGGCATCGAGGTTGTGGGTGGCAGGGCCATGGCCCGTGTCTGAGGGAGGTCTCTCATGCTGCCCGCAGGTAAAGGGGAAGAACAGGCGCTGGCAGGCACCGTCCTCACCCTCCTCTGCCTCCAGATGGGCTCTGGCCCGGAGGGGGAAGAGGTGTTTCGCAGCGTGAAGCCCCTGCTCATCAGTGTCCTGACAGACAGCATGGCCAGCCCTGGCGCTCGGCAGAGTGTAAGGCCTGGACCCTTTCCTCCTGGGCACAGGGGACACCTCAGCTGCGGGGAGAGCCCAGGCAGTGCCTTGGGGGTCCCTGCAGTCACAGGGGGGTGGCAGAATTGGAAGCAGTGGGGTAAAGCAGGGACACACCAGCCCTACTTCCCCCCTTGGCTGGGTGCTGGATCTGACCTGGCACTGTTGCCTCTGACTGCCTTTTCCTCATGGCTCTTGCCAGTGTGCCACAGCCTTGGGTATGTGCTGCTACATTGCTGCTGCTGATCTCGAGGTAACTGTGCCTGAGTGTTGTCTGTACCCTGCTGGAGGGCACCCTGGGGCTTGCTGTACCACCAACCCTCAGCCCACAGTGCCAGGGCAGCCTGAGCTGAGCTGAGCTGGGGAAGGGGTACAGGGACATCAGTGACAGCCCAGGCCCCTTCCATGGGCAGCATGGAGCTGAGCTGGGGGGAAGTCTGCCTTGTAGAAATGGGGTGTCCTGGGTGAAGGAGCCTCCTGGTGTCATTGGATGGGGTGGGTCCCTGTTGGTCCCCTGCTGTGTGGCTTCACTGTGGTGGCAGCTGTGTTCTGACAGGTGGCTTTCCCCCTTCCAGGACCTGGTCTCATGCCTGTCCTGCTTGGAGAGCATCTTCAGTCCCCCCAGCTCATCTGAGGAGGGCTCAGCACCCTCCCAGGATGGCCCTCTGCACTGCAGCGCGCTCCAGTCATGGTCCCTGCTCCTCACCATCTGCCCCCCATCCCACATCAAGAGCATCTTGGACAAGTGAGTAGGGTGGGGGCAGCCAGCTGCAGAGGGGGGAGCCCCTGGGGTAGCACCGAGCCCCCCTGACTGCGCTCCGGCCTTCCTGTCCCAGTGGCTGGCTGAGGCTGCCCCTGCTGCTGGCCAGCAGCAATGTTGCGCTGCGCATCCTGGCTGGGGAGACTGTCGCGCTGGTCTTCGAGCTGGCTCAGGACATGGAGGTACATTGGGGTACGGATGGGCAGGCAGCAGAGCAGCAGAGAGCTGCTGGCACCAGCCCCCTGCCTGTGCCCCAGCTGAGCTGGCACTGATGGTGTTGGGACACTTCAGACTGGTGTCACCAGCAGGTACCCAGGCAGAGGGACTGGCTCTGGTGATCCTGGTGACAGTGGTGGGCAGTGCCTGGAGCCACGTCCCCTCCAAACCCCGTATTTTGGCAGGTAGATTTGTGCCACCAAGATACGGTGTTCCTGTGTGCCCAGCTCAAGGTGCTGGCTACTGAGAGCAAAAAGTATCGAGCCAAGATGGACCGACGGAAGCAGCGCTCCATCTTCCGGGACGTTCTGCACTTCATTGAGGTACTGGAGGCTGGTGGTGCCCTTCCTGCTGAGCCCCTGCCTGTGCAGCTGCTGCCCAGCTGCCTGGTGATCCCCATCTGCTGAGAGCCAGGGACACAGGGCTGGTGCCCAGGTTGCTGCTGATACCCCTCTCTCTGCTCAGAGCGGGGAGTACCAGGAGGAGACCATCCGTTTTGGCCTGGAGTGCATGTACGTGGATAGCTGGGCATGCCAGCGCACCTACCAAGCCTTCAAAGAAGTGCTGTCCTCTGGCATCTGCCACCACCTCCAGGTAGGCGGGGTGGTTGTGCAGGGAGGGGTTGCCAGGCCGGTGCTGCTGAGTGCTGACAGGCCCCTGCTTCCCCAGAACAATGAGCTGCTACGGGAGATCTTCGGCCTTGGGCCCCCCTTGGTGCTGGATGCACCTGCTCTGAAAGCCAGCAAGGTCTCCCGCTTCGAGAAGGTGGGTGCTGCCACCCACATTTGTGCCCTCAGTGCCCTTCTGTGCTGCCATGGGCTCCAGCCGAGTGCCTGAGCCTGGTGGGTGCCACAGGGGAGCTGGGCAGAGGGGCACCCAGTAACCCATCTCTCCTTCCCTCCCCACCAGCACCTCTACAACTCGGCTGCCTTCAAAGCCCGCACGAAAGCCCGGAGCCGGGTACGGGACAAGCGGACGGATGTGCTGTGACGGGCAGAGGGGGCTGAGGCCTTAGCCCACTTGGACTGCAGACCCAGCACTGTGAGGGGCCGGCGGGCCTAGCCCTCAGGCTTTTATTCATGTACAGCAAAGTATTTGGAGCTGCCCCAACGGGGGCTGCCCCCTCTTTTATTTTTTTAAACCAAAGCAAAAAGAAGGATCAAAGAAGAGCGGGGGGAGGTGGTGGCATGCTGCTGTGTGCCTGCTCTGTGGCTGGGGCTCTGTGTGCCATGGTGGAGGGGGTCTCGCGGGCAGGGCTCACGTACCCCCTCCCCAGTCTCATGGATGCCTGGCACAGCTTGAAGGACGCTGGGTGGGAGGGCAGAGCCATGCAGGGCAGCTGGCAGCACAGTGCCTGTGCTGGTGGCCTGAGTGTTCCCCACTGCCATGCTGAGCACAGCCTCTGCCTCCACAGCCCGCCTGGCATCCAGGGGTGGTGGCAGAGCAGTGTGGGACACCAGGCTCTGCCCAGCCCTGCCAGCTGCCCGCTCTGAGCCCTTTTCCAGCCAAGTGCTTTATATGAAATGGTTCTCTTATGGGAAATAAATTACGGGTGCATGGCACAGTGGGCAAGTCCTAGTGGTGCCTGTGCAGCCTCAGGGGCTGCTGCCCGTGTGAGCATGGGGCTGTGCCATCTGGAAGTGCCTTTTGCCCCAGGAATGTATTTGTGGTGGTGATTTTCTAAGACTTTGATTACAGGAGCTAATTAAAAGGCGAATTGGAGAGTGCCTTCTGCCTTCTTGTTAGGAGTAAGGGCTGTCACTGCCTGGGTGCCAGTCCTTGCAGCCATGTCCCTTTCTCTCACAGCCTAGGATAGGGGCCAGAATTGCCTCTGCTACTACTCTGCACCACTTGAGGAGATGCTGCCAGGCCTGAATGGGGTGTGGGGCTGGTACTGCTGCCCACTTCCCCCTCCCGCCCTTCAGTACCCCTTTCCATGGTGACCCAGTGCCTGTGGTGGGGCCAGGAGCAGGTCAGCGGTGCCCGCCATGCTCGGCACTGGTGTTGAGGTGAGCCCAGAGTTGCCCATTGGCTGCCTGGAGCTGGTGCACAGCATCCTCTTGGGTCTCCAGCCATTGGGCCAGTGCCCGCACCGACTGGCTCTGCAGGACTGTGGGGAGAGGATGGGGACACGCTAGGGGTGGGCAGCCTGGCTCTCCTGCAGCGTCCCTCAGACCCTCCCACCGTACCCAGCACCACGTACCACTCAGGTATACAGCCAGTGTGGCCAGGACCAGGCTCACCAGGGCCAGGAGCCCCAGCAGGGCCAGGAGCAAGGGGTGGCCAGGGCAGAGGCTAGCACTGGGCACAGGGCGCAGAGTGGGCAGCAGCGGTGGGGAGCCAGGGGGTGTGGGGCGAGGCGGGGGCCAGTGCAGGCTGCTGGGGGGAGCCGGGCCATTGCCTGTGAGCAGGGGAGAGAAATGGTCAGAGCCCAGTCGTGGGCACGGCCAGGGTTGGTGTGGGCCCCCCCCTGCCCCGTGCTCACCCTCAGTGCCCTTCTGCCCGCCCGAGGCCCAGTGCAGATCGCTGATGGACTCCACAGGGCGCAGGCTGATGGCTCCAGGCTCACTGCTGTCAGGGTCCCCAGGCTCTGAAGCACCCTCAGCCCGTCCCATGCTGTCTGCGGAGGCAGAGGGTGAGTGGGTGTCCTGCCTGCAGCCCCTGCCTGCACCAGGCACCCCTGCAGAGACCAGGCTCCTTCCGGAGGTGACCCCACTTTGACACTAGCTGGGGCTGTGCTGGGGCAGGCAGCCAGTGCTGCGGCATGGCACGGTGTGGTGGCCGCAGGCGGGTGAGTGCTGTCATCGCAGCAGTTAGCGGGTGCTTGGTGGCCAGGATCCCAGAGCCTCGTTAATGGGGCTGGAATCTGGTCCTGGCCTGGGGGCAGGAATGTGCCACCCCCCAGTCCGGGTAGCCCAGGCACTGTGGGGCTGGCCAGGGCTCTCCTGGGCCAGCTGGGAGCCAACGAGCAGGGCTAGGGATGTGCCACCTCCAGCCTGCGGCATGGCTTGTCTTGCCCCATGGGCACCATTCTCATGCGCTGCTTAGGGGTGCATGGATTGATATAGGGTGTGTGCTATGCTGGGGGTCCTCGTGCCCACCATCCGTCTCAGAGAGCAAGCGGGCTTTATCAAAGCAGGCATGGCTCCAGCACCATCTGGAGACACACTAAGGTGAAGGGAATGATTTTGTCTATGTGTTCGCATGTTTTTGTGTGCTGGGCATGGCCCAGTGCTGTGCCTGCAGCAGAACAGGGTGTACTGTGCCAGCTCCAGTCCCTCCCAGGTCAGTGGTGTGTGGCAGGGCAGCCTGGCACCATGCCGCTGCTGTCGGGGTGCTGCATGACACCAGTGGGGCTGGCAGGTGTCAGAGCTGGGGGGGGGGGGGTGCTCAGCTGGTGCTCAAGGGATCCCCAGACCCTCCCCAGGGACCGGACTGTCCTGTGGGTCTCCCCATCATGCTGCACCTGAGGGGCACAGGGGGTGGTGGAAGTTAGGTGCAGGGGCTGTGCCAGCCAGCTGCCTGCCATCTCCCCAAACCCAAATCCTGCTGGCCTGCACCTGCACCCCTCCAGGAACCCCTTCTTGCCCAGGCAGACATCGCTGCCCTCAATGCCCACAGCACAGGGCAGCTTTTGGCCACTGCTTCCATCCTAACCCCAGGACCTGGTGCCACCGAGTTCCCCCCCGGGTGCCAGGGCCCCCCCCAGCCCACTCCCAGCCTACCTTCTCCAGCCTCCCTGGGCATGGTTCCCTGTGCCCGGGCAGCAGGAGTGGGCAGTGAGGTGGTGCAGGGCCCTGGGAGCCGGGCACCGGGTTCCCAGTGCGCCAACTGTGTCGCTTAAAATAGGACAGTGAGAAACACAGTTGGGGGGAGGTAAAAATAGCTGTGGGGAGGGGGGCCCAGTGGTGCAGTCAGGGCTCCAGCAGCATAGTGCCAGCATGGCAAAGGGAAAGCAGCCTGTGGTGGTGCCCATGCACCCTTCCTAGGGTAAAGGGGCTGACACTTCACTGTGAGATCAGAACAGAGCCTGTGCAGGAAAACTGGTGCACTGGTGGGTCCATCCAGAGCCAAAATGGGGTCTCTGCTGCCTCTCAGCAGCAATAGCAATTGTGCCCATCCTGGGGCCACCATGGAGGCCGCTCAGCTTTGCCCACAAGGACCATGCCTGCTGTGCCAGGAGGATTTATTTAAATTAATAAAATTCATAAAAAGCACGAGGCAGCAGCACTGCTGCCTGCCTTGTCACCAGCCTCATGTGCCGGGCAGCAGGCAGGTGTCGGAGGGTGGGAGGTCATTGTGCCTGTAGAGGACATGAACATGAGTGAGCGCCAGGCAGGAGGTGGCAGGGCTGGGCTGGACACGTCGGTTACAGCCCTTGCCAGCCCATCCACGGTAGCAGTGGCAGCGGAAGGAGGCCAGTGGGCTGGCACCAGGGCCAAGGAGCAGGAAGCTGCCCAGGTCATGGGGCTGCCGGCGCACACAGCGCCCATGCCCATGGCACTGCCTGTAGCTGCATTCCCAGGCTGCTGCCGTCACACTGGCCACGTAGGGACCCAGGGTGGACACGATGTAGTGGCGCAGGCTGGCACAGCTCTCCTGGGGGGGGGGGGGGGGCGGGGAAGAACTGGTGAGAACTCACCCTGCCACCGAGGCCCCTCTAGCTATTCCTCCCCGGTGGGCACAGGGGACGTGGCTGTCCCATAGAGCCCATGCAGCTCCGACGCAGCCAGGTGCCATACTCACAGCTGAGCGGGAATACGACATGTCTCCCCAGAGCACGAGTCCAGCCACCCCCAGCGCTGCGCTCTCCCCGATGGTGTGCACCAGGTCAGCCTGCAAGGGACAGAGGGATGAGACTGGGCTGGGGGGCACAGGCTGTCCCCTAGTGCTGAGCAGGACCCCTGGCACACCCGCCGCCGGCCCCAGCCCTTTGGTGCTTACTGGCTTCAGGAACCGCGGTGAGTGGCGGAAGGACAGGCGAGAGTAGGCGACCACGGGCAGGAGGCCGCTGGTGCTGAAGGCAGCCACACGCAGAGCCTCGCACAGCCGGTGGTGCACGTAGCGCTGGCGCAAGGCAGGCGGCAGTGCTGGGGGCAGGTAGATGCTGGGGTACAGAGCAGCTGAGGCGGCCCAGAGCCAGCGCAGCCGGTCATTGCGCTGCACGTCTGCTGCACTGCACTGCCCGGTGTAGTTGGCCACCTTGGCCCAGTTGCTGTTGAGGCAGTCAGGGAAGTGGTAGAAACCCCAGAGTCCCCCCGGGCGCAGGGTCCGGCCCAGCAGGAGCGTCTCCTCCATCAGAGCCTGTGCTGCCTGCTCAAACTGCCGCCGCGCCAGCCGCAGCTGCCATTGCCGTGGCAGGCGGCCATGCTGGTCCCGCACCCACTGCTCTGAGGCTGCCTGGTAGATCCGCTTGTTCCCCCAGTTTTGGGCCCAGAGGGGCCTCCACTCCTCCCAGTCCACCACGGCCAGGCCATGGAAATTGGGGTGCAAGAGGTCATGGATGTCCCCCGCCACCCTGGCAAGGTGGGCGCTGAGGGGGACCCGCTGGGGGATGCCCCCATTGTGGGGTATGCCCTGCTGCGACAGGTAGGGGTACAGCCCAAACTTGTCCTTGTAGAAGATGGTCATGTTTTGGCCAGCAAAGTGGCCATCCTGGTTCTCCACAATGCCGTAGTTGCCAAGGGGCAGCTCCACACCAAAGTGGTGCTGGCAGCGACTGGTGGGGACGTTCCACACCACCACAAAAGGCTGACCACCTGCCACAGGCTCCGCTGCCGGGCTCTCCCCGCCTGCTGTGCCCAGCACCAGGCAGGCCCACAGCACCAGCGCCAACACCATCCTGCTGGGCCAGCACCCTGCGGGGAAAGGAAAGCAGTTGGGCACAGTGCCATGCACGAGTACCCTGCTCATGCTGACACTGTCACTCTGGCATGTGGGCTAGATTTGCCACATGGGCCAAGCAGTCCCAAAGGGGCATGCTGCCAGCCCCAGAATCCCATGGGACACAGAAACTTGGGGGTTTTGGACACCTGCTGCATCAGTGCCACCAGTGGGCACTTCAGCCTGCTGTGCCCTGGTGCCCAGAGCTCTGCCTGCACTACAGCCACTGTTCTGACATGGCACTGCAAGCCACCAACCCCAAGACATCAGTTTTGCTGCTGGCTCCTACCCCTGCCTGTAGCAAGGGCACAGAATCACAGAATCATTGAGGTTGGAAGGGGCCCCTGGAGGTCATCCAGTCCAAACTGCCTGCTAAGGCAGTGCCACCTAGACCAGGTTACACAGGAATGCATCCAGGCAGGTTTTGAATGTCTCCAGAGAGGGAGACTCCACATCACTGGGCAGCCTGTTCCAGTGTTCTGCCACGCACAATGTAAAGAAGTTCTTCCCTAGGTTGAGGTGAAACTTCTTGTGCTTCAATTTATGGCCATTGCTTCATGTCCTGTCAGTGGCCACCCCTAAAAAGATTTGGCACCATCCTCCTGGCACCTGCCTTTGAGATATTTATATCAACTAATGAGATCCTTTCTCCCGCATTTCATAGCAGAGCCTACCCAGGCCAGGCACCCTGGTGAGAGACTGAGCCCCCCCAAGAACCATGGTGGAGTCAAAGCAGAAACTCTGTGCCCTGAATCAGGGCAGTGCTGGAGGGTGCCAGGTGCACCAGTGCTGGCCAGTCACTGGGGTGAGGGATTAGGTAGGGAACAGGCCCAGTGACGCAGCAAGGACATTGCTAATCCCCTGGCGCAGCCCAGATGCTCGTTGACCTTCCAACGCCATGTCTCTGGCCCTTGCTGCTACCAGCTGCGCTAGTGGGGGGGGACCTGGCTGCCCACCCCACCGGCAGCGCACTGCAGGGGGCCCGGCCATACTCGCCTGGTGCCCATCCAGCCACGTGTGCCTGAGTTTCCCCAGGCCGCTCAGGGGGAAGAGCGACAGCCACGCTGCTGGACATGGCCTACTGCCAGCCCCAGCTGGCCCACAGCGAGATCCATGGCTGCAGGACACACTGGTGAAACTGTGCAGAGCTGTTGGGACTGGTTGTACCCTCAGAGGAAGGATGGGGCTGGCTCCTTGCCATACTGGTGGTCCCAGGGCCCCAGCCAGGCAAGCTGGGGGCCTGGTGGGAGCAGAACCAATGTGCCCAGGCAGGACAAGGTGTGGGCCCACCTCCCCACCAGCACCCACCCCAGCAATGGCGCTGGGGAGGCTGGGGGAGCTGGTGCCAGACCTGAAGAATGGCAGCAGCCAGGCAGTGCCAGGGCGGGCAGCTCCTGCCCGCACTGCTTTAATCACGGGCTCAGAGCCCGGGCCCCTCAAATGTCCTTCTTCATCCAGAAGATGGGCAGCCCTTTGGCATCGCGGTGGGGGGTCTCCAGGAGGCTGCGCCCATTGCTCTCAGCCAGGACCCCCCTTGCCCAGATCACATTCGGTGGTGGGGGGGGTGGTGCAGGAGCAGCAGGGGACGAGACGGGAGGTGGTGGGGCAGGAGGCAGCCTTGGCCTGGTGCTGCTGGTGGTGGTGGTGTCAGCACCAGGACGGGTGGAGAAGAGCCGCAGCACCTCAGCGGGTACGGTGGGGCTGAGGAAGGCCACGCTCTGCACCGGCTCGCCCAGGACAAAGCCCAGATGTGCGTAGAAATGCTGCTTGTCGTGGGTGGTGAGGTGCAGGCAGCCGAAGCCCCGGGCTCGGGCCCACTGCTCAGTGGCCTCCATCAGCTGCCGCCCGTAGCCCTGGCCCCGCAGCGCCCGGGCCACCACCACGCTCTCCACAAAGAGGCTGCGGGGCCGGGCAGCCACGCGGGAGAGCCGGACATGGCCCACGAGCTGGCAGGGGGCCTCGGCGGTGCCCTGGCTCCGCAGCAGCAGCAGGCAGGCGGGGAAAGAGTCTGAAGAGCGCTGGAGCATGTGGAGCCGCGACGCCCGGCTCTTTCCCCACTCCTCGCGCAGCAGCTCAGCACAGGCCTCCAGCAGCTCTGGCCTCTGGTGCAGGGGGACCAGGGTGAGCTCCTCCGACACGGAGCCCATTCTTCTCACTGGTGGGAGACCAACAGGCCACAGGTCAGAGGCGGTGGGGGGCAGATGGGGTGTTTCCCCCAGCCCACTCCGGCCCCAGCGCAGCCACGGCTGCCCAGCTCACAGCAGGATGGGTTCAGGGGGGTTAACGGCAGGTCTGAGGGTGCACGTCAGCACCACAGCAGGGAAGTGGCATGTGGGGCTCTGGGGTGGGCCCTGTCAGCCTCTGAGGGGTCAGAAACTCCCTGCTACAACCTGTGCGCTGTGGGGACCCCTCTCCCAGCCCAGGGGTCCTTCCTCTTGCAAAGAGAAGCCACGGAGGGCAGGAGGAACTGCCACACTGCTGTGTCAGCTGGGGATGAGCAAACTGCTCCACTTCCCCCTCTCGGTGGTGGGGAGGGCCTGGCCCTGCTCCCCCACACTCTCAGGATGTCCCCAGAGTCACCCTCCAGGCCTAAGACCTCTGGCTCCCAGCCCAGACTCCATCCTGCCTGGTTTGGAAACTAGGCAGCACCCCAAGGCCCCCTCAGCACCATCAGGCAGGGGATGCTTTTTGTCTCCCCAGCAAACCCACACCGGGACCCCCACCAGCAGAGCCTGCACCCTGGGGGGCCTTCAGTGCCAGAGGGAGCCCCCCTCATGTCTGGCCTCCTGCACTTCTGCCTGTGGTGCCCTGCCAAGCTTTGCCCGCCCTGGTGCCCAGTTCCCCCCTATGCCTGCCCCTCTCCAGCTCCAGCCTAGGGGCTGCCCACCCCGCCTGCTGCTGCCCATAGTCACACTCACCCTGCCTGCTGCCCTCCCTGCCTGCTGCTCACTCTGCCTGCTGCTGCCCATGCTCACACTCACCCTGCCTGCTGCTGTCGGCTCCTGCACCCTTGGTGCCTGCGCAGCAGGAAGCAGCCCAGTCTCATGGCCAACCGCAGTGCCTGGTTCTGCTTCCCCAGTGTGAATGACTCAACTGTTCAGAGCCCCACATGGCACCCCCCTGCCACAGCACCCAAACCAGACTGCACGCCCCATCACTGCAATCCACACTGCACCCACACGAGGTGAACAAACCTGAACGGCATCGCCCAGCTGATCTCTGCCCCCCCACATCACTGATCCATCGTTGATCTGTCACTGACACATTGACCAGGTTTCCCCTAGTATCCAGTAGAGGATGGAGGTTCTCCTGGGCCCTCCTTTTATTGCTACTGTATTTGTAGAAGTACTTTTTATTATCTTTTATGGCAGTGGCCAGCTTGGTTGGCCTTCCCCCTCATCTTCACCCACAAACACTCAGCCTTCTCACTCAGAACACTGAGCTGGAAGTGGTCGAGGCAGTCCCTGACATACAACGCAACCCCACCACCTCTTCCTCCTTGCCCATCCCTTCTAAAGAGCCTGCAGCCGTCCACTGCAGCACCCAAATCATGCAAATCATCCCACCACGTTCCTGTGATGGTGATGATATCACGAATTCCCTGCTGCACAAGGGCTTCCAGCTCCTCCTGGTTGTTCCCCATGCTGCGGGCACTGGCACAGATGCACTGAAGTTGCTCTGTGGATCTGGACTCCAACAGCAGCACATTACTCCCTGGCTCATTTCTAGTGAGCCTGGGGTTATCCCTCCCCTATCTCGTAGGTCCCATCCATCTGCCGAAATCTTCTAACCCACATGATCTCTTACCTACTGCATCAGCTTCCTCAGTTTCCAGACCCCCAGCTCCCAGGGCCTCGAATCACTTCTTGAGGGGTACTTGGGAAGGTGACCTGAGCTGGGGCAAAATCAGTGTGTACTACAAGGAGTAAGCTGTTTCAAGCCTCCCCTTTCTCCCAGGTCCCCTTCATCTGTTTGGTGGCAAGAGGCAGGGCCAAGAGGGGGGCAGACAGCAGGGTAGGGGGTGGCACAGGGATTTCCCCCCAGAGGCCAATGTCAGGGTCAGGAGGGGTCCAGATGGCCCCTGTAATGTGGGGATCAGCCCAGCTCTCCAACTCCTGGATCTGCCTCCTCCAAAGAGCTCTTCCTTGTCCCTGCAGCAGAGCAGAACGGCCTCCTGGAAGCCTGCTTCTGCAGCATGTTCCACTTGCCTCCGCAGGACAGCCAGGGACCCGAGGCTTGGCTCTACTGCAAGTTTCTGACACCGTGCAGCTGCAGAACATCTTCAAGGCCTGGCCTTGGGACAGGGTCCCCTTGGGCAGTGACCTCCGGCTTGAGCGGTGCCCCCCCCCCCCGAGCCCTTGCCTCCTGGCTGCTACCAGAGCCCCTTCTCCTGCCCCAGCGCACCCAGGCCCTCACCCACTGCCTGTACTGCACAACCCTCCAGGCGCAGCTGCCTGCCTGGAAAGGGGAGCCCAGCCCTGGCGCTCTCCCCCTGCGGCTTCACGGGCCATACCCCAGAGCCCCAGCACAGGTCCGCAGGGAGGGGTCACCCCAAAGCCTCGGGTCCTCAGGGGCAGCGGGCAGAGGGAGGGACCTCTTCTGAGCAGCAGGGCGGCAGCAGCAGCAGTGGGATGTGGGGACCCGCCTGGCCACAGCCCATTGCTGCGAGGGGCAAGGAGGACACGTGCCCCGTGTCAGGCACCGCCGGGGTGCTGTGCTGTGCCACCCCACCTTCTGGCACACCAACGCGTGCACCCGGCTGCCCGCCTCACCGGCAGCACACTGCAGGGAGCTCTCCCGTACTCGCCCGGTGCCCGTCCATCCACGTGTGCCTCAGTCTCCCCAGGCTGCTCAGTGGGAAGCGCGGCAGCCACGCTGCCGGACATGGCCTACTGCCAGCAGCCCCCTGCCACGGCACCCAGACTGCACCCCCCATCACTGCGATCCACACTGCACCCACACGAGGTGCACAAACCTGAACGGCATCACCCAGCTGATCACTGCCCCCACCCCATCTCCGATCCATCTCTTATCCGCCATTGACCCACCACTGACCAGTCACTGACCCGTCACCCGTCCCCTCAATGCCGGGCCCGTCACTGACCCGCCACCGCCTTCAGGACCGCCTCCCTCCCTGCCCCGCCTCTGCCCATCACCGACCCCCTCTCTACTCCCGCTCCCCTCGCCCCCCGCGCCGCTCCTCCGGACCCACCGCTTCCGCCACCGCCCGATCACTTCCGCCGCCGACACCGCTCGGCGCCCGCAGCGCGCCCCTTGGCGGCCGGAGGCCGCGCTCCTCTCGCCACCGGTTGCGGCACGCGCGGTGGCCGGTGTCGTGTCGCCGGGCGGAGCTCACCGCCACTGGCACCACATGAAATTGGGGTCTCACTGGATACAGAGACTTAGGCACAGACAGGGCGACGAGGATGCTTAAACCGGTGTTTCACTGCCTCTGGAGGCTACAGTTCTGCGGGTAAGGAAGGCTGCAACAGGAGGACCAGATGTCTTCTCCCACCCCAGCGTAGGTTCCTCCTTTTGCTGAGAAACAGGTACATGGCTGCAAAAGAAAACACCTCGAGGAGCCTCTCAGGGTCGTGAATTGGAGCAAACAAGAACATGTAGTTGGTTTGAAAGACTAAACACGCGTTCCAACACCCTTGACTAAGGGATTTCCATAAAAGTGTAAAACGAGTCAGGGAATTTCTCCCCAAAAGAGCACTACAACCTCCAGAGACCACTCCTCAAATGCACAGCGCCTGCGCCATGGCCTTATCTGCCCAAATTACCACGTGCATCAGTAAGGAGAATCAAGTGGGATTTCACGCATCACAATGAGTACATACGTAATGACGTCTAAGCTGTAAACTGTCCCTTCTCGGTGTGTGTGTTAGGCAGAGTGACTCCCCATGCACCCGGTACCCTAACAAAGTAACGGGTTTCTAACCTTTCATTCCGGTTAGAGAGCTTATTTCCCGGATTTCGGTGACAAGCTCACGGCCATGGCGTGTCCTACCGACCCAGCGGGGGTCCTAGTGGCAGAGGAGGCAGCGCTAGCTTTCCCCAGCCCCACAGCAGGCGGCTGCCCGCTCCAACCCGCTCCTTGCCACCCCTTCCCGCTCCCTCCTGCTCCAGCCCGCTCCTGCTGCCCAGGGCTCTGCCAACCTGGCCGTGTTTCCGGGGGTGAGGTGGGTAGGGATCCCTGGCAGGGGCCATCACTGACTCATAATTGACCCATTATTGACAGCCCTGGCAACCGTAACCAGGGGATCGGCTATGTTAGGGGGACCCCAGCATCTCCAGGTCAGTGCGGCTGCAGCAGTGGCCGAGTGCATGGTGTGCACCCAGCATCCCTGCGTGCTCAGCAGCCTTCATACGAGGGGAGACCCTGGGCCGTGTCCAGGGCCTCCTGTGGAAGAGGGAAGAGTCTTCGAGTGCCTGAGGGCCACGGCCTGCGCCCCAGCCCAGCTGCAGGTGGGGGTGGCCCCAGTGCCCAGGAGCAAGGGGACAGTGGGGTTGTGACAATGGGGTACTCCGGCTTAGATGAACCCCAACCCTGTGCCAGAAGGAGGAGGAAGGAGGAGTCAGTCCCACCGCCCTGGGGCAAGGAGGGTTCTGTGGGGCTCTGGGGTCACAGGAGGGGTGCTGTGGCGGGGGGGATCAGGAGCTTGAGCGGGGATGACATCGGGGCACTCTGTCAACCAGCCCTGCCTGCACAGTGTCTCAGGGACATGGTGGGAGCAAGGAGCCCCACAAGCACTCTGGTGGTGGGGGGTCCCCTTCACCCCTTTCCTCCCTCCCTCCCTCCCTCCCTCAGGATGGAGGCGAGACCCCCCAGCAAACCCAGGCTGGCCTGAGTGGAGGAGGACGAAGCTGGCCCGGCTCCCAGCTCTGGGCTGAAGTGCAATGAGATGCGTAAAGGTGAGTGCGGGGGTGCTGCGGGCAGGGGCTGCCCACCCTGCCCCGTCCCACGCTTGCAGTCCCCAGCCAGGCATCGGCCCCGCAGTGCAGAGCCCAGGGAACAGCCTCACCACAGCATCTCTGGGCCAGGAGCTCCCTCTTCCCCTGGTGCCGGGTGTCTCTCCTTGGGGCACACTGGGCCTCCCTCCCATGCTGCCCTCCCGCATCGCATCCTCGCCCCTGGGGTGCACGGGCGGCACCGGTGTCCCAGCCTAGAGCCAGGGCTGGGGACATCCCTGAAGCTGGGCAGAGGGCTCGTGTACTCCCCACTGCCTGCCCTCCAGTCCTGCCTGCTCTCTCTTGGCCAGGTTCATGCATCTCAACTGCGGACGTGTCCAGCGAAGAAAAGAACAGCCTGGACACCATCGAGGCGTCCATCAGGAGCAGACCAAAGGTATCCACGGCCACTTCCATGCGGCTGTGCCTGTGTCTCCTGCACGGTCTTTCTGCCTCCGTCCCGTACTCAGAAGGTGCTGGGGGCTCTTACGGACCCCCCATCTGTCTCTCCCGCCTGACGATGTCTGTCCATCTGTCACCTCCCCGGCTGGCAGCAAGAAGACCAGAAGCTGAGGTTTCTGGAGCCCGTCTGAACCATCTGCACCACAGCAGCAGGCACTCCTTCCTGTGGGGCACGCTGCTGCTCTTCCAGCCTGAGCTGGCTGAGACCCTCGAGGTGAGGGGATGGCTGGTCAGGCTGAGGCAGGGTCAATGGCACAGCCCTGGGGCAGGAGAGGGCTCAGCCAGGCAGGGAGCGCGAGCGGAGCGAGCCCCGCTCTGGGGCTGCATCCTTGGCGATGCTCCAGAGCCACCTGCATGGCCCGGCTGCAGGTCCCTTGGCCAGGCTGTGTTCTGTGACGGGCGCAGCCCTTCCTGCTACGTGGCTGGGACTACTGCTAATGGTTGGGGGTGCCAGGATGGGCTCTGACAGCCCCCCGGGCTATTGCTGGATGAAGGAGCTGCCCTGTCCTGACCCATCCACACTGCTGTGCCCCTCAGGTGCTGCTGCAAGAGGAGCCCGTTGATCGCCTGGACACCACGGTGCGGCAGCAAGTCATGCTGACCATCGCTGCCATGAGGTACCTGCCCAGCCCCAGCTCGGCGTCCCCGGCTACGTGAACGTGGTCGCTACGGGAGTGACCCCGCGGGCCGCGCTCGGAGGGCTCCTGGCAGGGGAGGCGGGGCTGCAGTGGCCGTACAGGGCGGCCCGGACCGGGGCTGCTCCGCGCTTCCTGCCCGCCTGCAGCCAATAGGCGCTGCCGGGGGCGTGGCCTGGCCGCGGGACGACAGCGGCGCGGGGGTGCCACGTGCGGCGGCAGCATGGCGGCTACGGCGGGCGGCAGGAGGGGCAAGGCCCCGCGCGGGGCGGCAGGACGGCGGAGGCCGCGGGCGGCGGTGAGGGGCGGGCGGGGAAAGGGGAGCGAGGAGAGAGCGCCCGCGCGGGAGGCGGCGCTCCCCTACCGTCTCCTTCCTGTTGATCACCCCTTTTCGTCCCTCAGGTCTCGGGCGCCGAGGGGAGGCCGCGGGCGGCGGCCGGCCGGCCGGTCGACGAGGAGGTGTCCAGCGATTCTGAGACGGAAGGGTAGGGGCTGCGCCGACGGAGTGAGTTGTGCCGGTGGGGGTACCGGTTCTCACGCGGATCCCCGCAGCCCGTTGCAGGGACGGCGGCGGCGGGAGGCGGTGGCGGCGGAGGAGGAGGTGGAGGAGACGCCGCAGGAGAAGAAGCTGCGCCTGGCCAAGCTTTACCTGGAGCAGCTGCGCCAGCACGGTGAGTCGTGCGCGGTGTCCGTGCTGTGGCTAGGCGGCCCCGGACCTTGAGCACGGCCCTTATGGACTGTGTCCGCTGCAGAAGAGGAGCTGGCAGAGGAGGAGGAGGAGACCCAGCAGGCGGATCTCATCGGCGACCGGCTGAAGGAGGACGTGGTGAGCAGGGGGCGGGCGCGGCCCCTCCATCCCGGTGGCGGCTGGTGGCTGCTGGGCCGGGGCCGCCTCCACTGAGCTCCCACTTACTCCCCAGCTCGAGCAGAAGGGCCGCCTGCAGCGCCTGGTCGCCGGGGATGTAAGTGCTCAGCACGGGGTTACCGGAGTGTAAATGCTGGCTTGGAGGGACACCTGGTCATGGTCATGGCTGGCACCCCAAGTTGCTGTGCTGGCTACGGGACCAGAGCCCTTATGCCACCAGGGGTGCCAGCTGCTGGCACCCTGAGGAAGGGAGGGTGCCGTGCTCAGGTACTGTGCCTGGGGAAAGGGCCAGGGCAGCCCAGTTTACATCCTGCTCGCCTTGTAGGTGCAGCCTCCGGATCCAGCCAGCATCCGTGTGTTTCGGGGACACCAGCTGCCCGTCACCTGCCTGGTTGTCTCTCCAGATGACAGGTTCATCTTTTCTGCTTCCAAGGACGGCTCCCTCATCAAATGCAAGTGTTCCCTTGGGGCTGTGACTGGCTCTTCCCACAGCAGCAGGGCCATAGGTGCCCACAGAGGTGGCTTGGCCCTTGCCCCCTCCGTGGACATGCACGTGTATCTCTTTGGACTCTGTGAGAGGCTCCCATGGGGTGATGATGATGCCTTACCTGCAGGGGAGGTGGAGAGTGGGAAGAAGCTGTGTGTGGTGCCGGGGGGGAAGAAGGGCACCGAGGAGCAGCACATGGGCCACGCGTCCCACATCCTCTGCATGGCCATCTCGTCAGATGGCAAGTACCTGGTATGGGGAGAGAGGGCTGGCATTGCTGTACGGGACAGAGAAGTGGCTATGGAGAGTGCATCCCTCCTGCAGTCCTGGGGGGAGGTGTCTTATGCCTGGATGTACTTTGCTGGGTAAAAGCAGCCCCTTCCCCCACTGGAGTCAAGAGTGGATTCCTGGGAGCCACATGGGCGAAAGAATGGAGGCTGGGATGGGCATTGGGCATGGGGCAGGTGTTGGGCATTCTCTGCTGTCTTTCAGGCCACGGGAGACAAGAACAAGCTGATCATGATCTGGGACACAGCTACCTGCAAGCGCTTGCACATCTTCACTGGGCACCGGGACGCTGTCTCAGTGAGTGAGGGACATCAACTACCCTGCCTGCAGGGCCGGGCAGCCGTGTTCTTCCCGGTGCCCCTCACTGCTGTGTCTATGTCCGTCCATCTGTCTGTAGGGCCTGTCCTTCCGGAAGGGCACGCACCAGCTGTACAGTGCCTCCCATGACCGCTGTGTAAAGGTCTGGAATGTGGCGGAAAATGCTTACGTAGAGACGCTGTAAGACCTGGGTTGGAACCCCACTGACCCTGCTGCCATGGGATGCACCAGCGGCCCCAGGAGAGGTAAGGCTGCAAAGGGCCATGCTCCCAGCAGCTCTTTGCAATCTCCTTCTCCAGGTTTGGGCACCAGGATGTCATCACGGGGCTGGACAGTCTGAGTCGGGAGTGCTGTGTGACGGCAGGGGGACGCGACGGCACTGTGAGGCTCTGGAAAATCCCTGAGGAGTCGCAGCTCGTGTTTTGTGGGCACCAGTAGGTCTGGGGCAGGAGCAGGGCCTGTGGCAGGCAGCAGCACACTGGGGATGCTGATGCCCCAGTGAGCCGTTGTCTTCTAAATGCGATCCCAAAGCATGTTCATAACTGATAGTAGTTGCCTCTTTTGTTCAAAGGGGCTCCATCGACTGCATCCAGCTCATCAATGAGGAGCACATGGTGTCTGGAGCTGATGATGGGTGAGCACAGGCCCAGGATGGTGCCTGGGGGACGGGGCAGGCAGTGCCCCACTCAGCACCCTCACTCTGCCCTCCTGGCAGGTCTGTTGCTCTGTGGGGGGTGACAAAGAAGAAGCCACTGGCACTGGCCCGCCAGGCGCACGGCATGCAAGATGCCCAGGGCCTGCAGCAGCCGTACTGGATCTCAGCGGTGGCCGCCCTGCGCAACAGTGACCTCCTGGCTACAGGTGTGTGGCAGCTGCTTTGGAACAGGGGTTTGGGGAGTGTATGTGTGGAGACGTCCTGCTCCTGTGCCCAGCTGGGTTGCATGACAGTCTCCTCTCTCTGCCCCAGGGTCCCACAGCACCAGCGTGAAGCTCTGGAAGTGCAGTGAGGGATTTCGGAAACTGGAGCCTCTCTGGGACATCCCCTTAGTATGGATGGGGAGGTTGGGGATGCTGGGAGGGAGTGGTGTCTTGTCTTGGGGGTTCCCCTGCCTGGGTGGAGGCAGAGGAGCCCTTCACTTGCCTTGTTCCCTCCAGGTGGGTTTTGTCAACAGCCTCAAGTTCTCCGCAGCTGGTGACTTCCTGGTGGCTGGCATTGGGCAGGAGCACCGGTACTGTCTCCCCTGCCCAGCACTACCCAGGGGCGCAGCCCCACCCCCTACAGTGCTTGGCTCAGGGTGACCCCCATCTCTTTCATCTGTAGGCTCGGCCGGTGGTGGAGAATCAAAGAAGCCAAAAACAGCATCTGCATCATCCCACTGAAACAGAGGGCCACAGTTCCCAGCCCGGAAGGCCCTGACAGCTCTTAGTATGGCTGGAGCCATGTCCTTAAACTGCTGTCCCTGGAGCTGTGCCCCGTGTTCTTCATGCAACCACCTTCCTTGGGACAGCAGCATGTCAGAGAGGGCTGTCGCGTAGCCTCTTACCCTGCTGCTCCCCATGGTGTGCCGTGGCTCTGCCCTCTGCGAGGGTCTGTCCCCTTCCCTCAGGTTCAGTCATACCTGAGCTCTGGAAGAGTCCATTAAAAAAAAACTAAACAACAAAACCACTTTATTTACATAAATTACAAAAAGAAAAGTCACACTCTTGTTCACAGAATAAATCTACTCTTAAAAACTTGTTTGGGCGCAAATATCTGGGTCCCATTACTTGCCTTCAGCCACTGCCAGCCCCCCCCCGTGGCTCTTGGGGGTACAGGGGGCAGTGGGCATTCCTCCCTGCTCCTGCCCTTTCTCCCAGGAAGGTGGGGAGCAGCACCCCACACAGTGAGGGGAGGGATTTGAGGGAGCTTGGGCCCAGCCCAGCAGCGCTCAGCAGCTTTCCTGGGGCCAAAAACGAGGAGGAAAAGGTGAAGCTGTGCAAAGTGCAGGGGCAAGGGTGGCATGGGGCATGGCTAGATAACAGAAAGGACCCGCAGCAGGAAAGCAGGGTGATGGGGTGAGGACAGTGTATGCCAGCACAGGGCTTGCAGTGGACGGAGCAGGAAGTGCAGCCCGAGGGAAGTGTGACTTGCTATAGGGCTGGGAGAGACAGTTGGGTTGTGCGCTACGGTTCAGTGCGAGGGATGTGGAGCAGGGCTGGCACCACAGTTTGGGGGATGTGGGGGAACACTCACCATGGCTCAGTGCAGGGGATGTAGGAGTGCACAATGGCTCAGTGCAGGTAACTTGGAGGGATGTGCACCGTGTCTCAGTGCAAGTGGCCGGGGCACATACATCATGGCTCAGTTCAAGGATTTGGTATGTTCTCCATGGCTCAGTGCAGGGGACTGGGGATGTTCACCACGGCTTAGTGCAGGGGACGCGTAATGTAGTTCAAGTGCAAGGGAAGGGTGACACGTACCATGACCCAACGTGTGGAATGCGTAGCTTGTGCTGGGGCAGGGGCTGAGCCTCCTGCCTGCCTCTGGCACCTGAGCAGTCTGTACTGTGATGCAGGCACTGCTGTCCTTGAGGAGGGGGCCGGGTGCAGGGTGGCCGCACTATGACCTGGTCCCCCTGTCCTTCACAAGGATGACGTTGTGGAGTCCACCACCTCTCGGCCATTGCACACTGTGGGCACATACTGCGAGGCAGAGCCTGGGAATGAAGGAATCAGTTAGGGGCAGGTTGGGGTCTGGCACCAGCAACCCACCCTCAGGGCATCCCACTCCGGTGGGAGATGAGTGCTTGGGGAGCTGCATCCCTCAGGGCTGGGATGGAGAGTATTTGGGGTGACCATGTCCCCTCAGGGCAACGACAGGGCCCTGGGCACAGTATCCCCCCTGGCAGGACATGCTGCAGTCTTGGGGCTTGCAGGCATGAGAGGTGAGAGATTGGGACGGAACGCAGACTGTGGTCCCTATAGGGAACACAGCATCTTTCACACTCCCGTTTTCAGCCACACCCTACCCTGCACCCCACTTTCATTCAGGGGCTCATGCTGGGGTGCTCCTGCCCCCTCCAGGATGGGGGTGCTGCCACCCAGCCCTTCCCCAACCCCACCATGCTCACCGTGGGACTGACTGGAGCTGGCGGCTGCCACGCTGAACCGAGCAGTGCCCACACGGTGGCTGGCCACATTCTTCTGCGGCTGGAAGAGTATGATGTGAAGCTTGGGGGTGAAGAGGCAGCCGAGGACCACAGTGCCGCTGAGGCTCACTGAGATGCACATCGTGGTAGTCTGGACCTGGAGACAGGGGTGGGCATCAGGTGCTCCTGCCACCAGCCCTCTGCCCGGAGAGGGGCAGGATGAAGCCTTCACTGCAACACCAGCCAGCCCCACCAGGTAGGGGCTGCTGCCTGCACCCCACAGGGACAATCCCACCCCCTACCACGTCCCTCCATCAGAGTGGACCCACAGCAGAGGATGGGCACTGCCCTGATGGGGACATGCTGCCCCTGCAACCCTGAGCAGCACCCTCTGCCCTGCCAACAGGCTGCTCTGAGGCAGTGGCCAGGGTCAGAGCCCAGCACCCCCACCCCAGTGCCCGCTCCCACTGAGGAGTGCAGGTCCTCTCTGGAAGCCCCCAACTGCAGCTGCCTCCCATCGAGTCCTCCAGGCCTGGCAAGCATGTCCTGCCTTGCCAGGAGGGTTGAGGTGCTGCAGGGTGTGCCCTGTGCTCCCCTGCCCCTGGCACTGCTTAGCTCCCCAGGCACCATGCTGGCCCTGAGGCTGGCTTTCATGCCCTGCTTGGGGGAGTATCTGTATGGGCCAGGGGCATTCTCATGCCTTCATGTTGCAAGGCTGAAGGATGGAAATCACTCCTCTGTGGTCAGGTCAGGGGTCTCTGGAGGTCTCAGGTCCATTTTCCATCCTCACCCTAGCAAACAGTCTGTCAAGGAGGGGTTGGTGCCTTCTCCTCAGGAGTCATTGCCCCTTCAGCCATACTTCACCTGGTCCCAAACTCCCCAGTGCAGAGGTGACCATCACCAAGCCTGTAGTTTAAGACCCTTCTCCAGGCCTATGCAATCTCTAGTCACAAACCCCATGGGGCCCAAGTGGCCATGACCACTCAGATCAAGCCTTATTAAAGCCCCCTAAAACTCAGGCTCTTACACGATAGTCGCTGGAGGTCACGTAGAAGATGGGCAGGAAGGCCAGCCAGATGATGCAGGTCGTGTACATGGTGAATCCGATAAATTTGGCCTCATTGAAGTTTTCAGGGCATTTCCGTGTCTTGAAGGCATAGACCGTGCAGAGGACAATCAAGAGGACATTGTAGGTGAGCGAAATGAGCATGTTGGAGTCACGGTTGTTGCACTTGAGGGTGACGATGTACCTCTTGTCAGGCTCCGTCTCCTTGCCAGTGCCAGGGGTTTCCACCAGCAGCCAGATGATGACGATGATCAGCTGGCAAGAGATGAGGGCCATGCAGATGACTACCTGTGATGTGGGGCTTATGAACCGGGGACGCTGGACCCCCTCCTTCACCCCACTGAAGATCCTGGCAATGCGATTTGTCTTGGTCAAGAGGGCCGAATAGCAGACAGCGAAGGACGTGCCCAGTCCCAGGCGCCGGAGCGTGCACACCTCAGTGGAGGGCTTTGCAATGAAGATGAAGGTCATGCTATAGCACATGAGGACCCCGGTCAAGAGAATGTAGCAGAGCTCCCGGCCAGAGGCCTTCACAATGGGGGTGTCATTGTTCTTCATGAAGACTCCAAAAACAAAGAGTGTGGAGATAAAACCCAGGCAAGAGATAGTGACAGGACCAATGGCCCAGGCATCTTTCCAGCGGATGTACTCTTGGGGCAACTCATAGCAGCCATTCAGGGTCTCATTGGGCCAATAACCAAGACCACAGTCCATGCAGGTGAACTCATCCAGCAAGTACTCATAGGGCTGGCAGGGGATGCAGATCCAGCAGCATATGTCTCCGGGCTGCATGCTCTTTATCTCATTCTTCTTGCAGGGGTCGCTGCACTGGGAGACAGGGATGGAGGTCTCAGCCCATGGGATGAGGCTGGTGTTGAGGATAAGCCCCTCAGCCCAGTAGCCCACCTTCTGGTACCGATACCGCCCATCCACGTGGTGATAGTTGAAGATGTTGTAGCGCCCAATCCCATCACCGTAGCGATCAAATCGAACAACGCTCTTGGTGTCTGCTGGCCTGAACGGAGCTAGAGGGAGGAGAAGGGGAGATGGTCACTGTCATGGGGCAGGAGAGGGCTTGCTCCTGGCCTGGAGGAAGGGCTCCTTCCAAGGGTCACATGCCACCATGGCCACAGGCAAACGTCAAACCTGTTCCCTGCCTTCACTCTCATACTTGCTGCCCATGCACATGTTAGGAGCAGGAAAGCAAGGTGGAGAACTGCCTCCTCATGTGTCTAACAGCTCAGCAGCCTCAGCCAGATCTGCAGGGGCAATGTGGGGATTTTCAGTCTCTGCGCCTGTCAGTGACACTAGAGTAGCTGGGCTCAACCCAAGTCACAGAGGACACTCTTCTAATTCATCCCAAACTGTGTGGGTTCCTGATCAAGGGTATCCCTCCAGTTTAACCCCTGAAATGTGAATAATCACAATGCTTGCAAGTGAAGTCTCTGAGGACCCATGTTCTCAGAGGGTCTCTTGTGGGACTGATTCCACCTAGCTAAAACATGATGGATTTGGTCACCAGCTTCTCTACAACAGGGACAGAAGGCCTGGGTTGCCTCCCAGCATAGATAACGGACTGTTGTCATCCTTGGACAATCACAGCCCATGGCACAGAGGTCCCCAGGTGGGGGAAGGCTGGAGGACTTGGAAGGTCTTGGGTCAAATTTAGGTCTCTTCCTTGCCCCACAACCTGCCCCTTTCCAGTTAGGCAGCCAACCCCATCTCCACCTCTGGACTCACCATCAAAATTAACATTGAGCATAAAGTCCTTGTAGAACCTCTTGCCATTGACAGGCTTCATGGCATCGCAGAGCTTGGTGGTGTTGGGGCACAGTGCCTGGTGCATGTTGTGGAGAGAGTGAGCCATGGCGTAGACTGCATTGACCACAAATGTGATCTTGGACTCTGGCTCAAACTTGCCTGTCTTGAGGGAGTACCAGCTACAGTCCTGTGTGTGGAAGCTGCACTTGAACTTCTGCTCCCAAAACTCCCGAAACCAGGGATTTCGGCTGTTATTGTAGGGGTTAAGGTTACGGAAATAGGCAGCAAACTCCTTAATGGGGTAGGCTGCCAGTTCGATGGTGATGGCTCCCTCTGCCACCTCTTCGCTCCCAGCCACCACGCTCTCCAGGGCCCCCCATCCATCACTGGCCACCCACATGAAGGACACGTTGGCTCTCTGGGCAGCTGCCAGCAGCTCCCGGGCATCTTCGCTTCGGGAGAACAGCACAACCACCCTGGCATTGGGCTTCTGCTGCAGAGCTCGGACCACGCTGTCATAGGTCTTCTTGTTCATGGAGCGCCCCACCTTCTCCGAGGTGGCAATGCAGATGTTGCGCATGCGGGCTTCTTGCTCAAAGGCCTCGATCCCTGTCTCCCCGTAGTCACCCTCTGAGGCCACAGTGGAGACATAGGTCCAGTTGAAAAAGCGGAGGATCTCTGCCATGGCTTTGGCTTGGTAGAAGTCTGGTGGAACAGTGCGGGCGAAGTAGTCATAGCGGGACTTGTCACTGAGCTTGGCGCTGGTGGAGGCATAGCTGATC